GCAGGGACAGCATGGACACCGTGACAGCCAGGGGATTGTCCTGGGACCGCAGGGACAGCATGGACACCGTGACAGCCAGGGGATTGTCCTGGGACCGCAGGGACAGCATGGACACCGTGACAGCCAGGGGATTGTCCCACTCTGCTCCCTGCTGAGGCGACCTCACATCCAGACCTGGAGCACCTTTGGGCACCATACTATCAGAAGGTTATCAAGCCACTAGAAAGTGTCCAAAGGAGGGCAACAAAGATGGGGAAGGGCCTTGAGGAGAAGCCAAGGGAGGAGGGCTTGGTCTCTTCAGCTGGACAAGAGAAGGCCTCACTGCAGTGACAACATCGTCGAGGGGAGGAGGAGGGACAGACAGTGATCTCTCTGTGATGACAGTGACAGGACCCGAGGGAATGACCTCAAGTGTCAGGGAAGGTTTAGGTTGGATGTTAGAAAGAGATTCTTCTCCCCAGCACCACCCTGGCAGCATTCAAGCAGTGTTTTGACGATGCTCTCAGCACAGGGTGTGATTCTCAGGGGGTCCTGTGCAGGGCCAGGAGTTGAACTCGGTGATGCTTTTGGGTCCCATCCAGATCAGGATGTGATTTCTGATGTGATTTCTGGTCTCCTCATCTGGACCAAGCCATCTTTGGACATCTGAGCTGTGGGCAGCAAGCAAGTCATCCACTTGTGACTGAGGCAAGCACTGCATGTCCCCAAGTGATGCATGTCCCCAGGACAGGGAAATCCAACAACACATCACCACAAAGTCCTATAAACTAAAGATGGGTTTTTTTTTTGCTAAATGCAAGCTCTCAACCTTGTGTTGCTCTTCCACTTGGCACTATTTTCTCTGTCAGGAGCAGAGCAACCAGTGATGGACACTTCATAAAAGAGAGAGAAAAAAGGAGGAAAGATGAACAAAAAAGGGAATAGAAGACAGAAGAAGCTTCAGCTGAGCTAAACATCATAAGCTACATGCCAAGAAAAATAAAGGTGCAACGAGTCTTGACTTCTCTGGCAGAAGAAAACTCTCCTCCACCCCATGCTTTAATATGGATGTGTGAGGAGACCACCTTTATGTGCTAAAGCTGCCTGGGATTTCAAACCCAGGAAGACCCAGATTCTGTAAAGGCACAAAAAAGAACCACACTCAAATTAGTGATGATGCTTTGGCACAAACTGAACTCATCATTATGGTGGGCTCTGTTCAGAGCTGTAGTAAGGAACGCCTGCCCTTAAGATCCGGTAAATCTTCAACAGAACACTGATGGGAACAGAAAACACACTCCTTATCCCTGTACTTTAGATGATTGTTTCCTTGCTGAGATGTAAACAAAGGCCATGCAGATCTCCCAGGTTGAGCAGAAGGAAAACCAACACACATTCAGCTGAGTAAGAGCTGTTCTCTTGAGCTGCAGCAATGAATTCCATACAAGCCAGAAACATCTGAACATTTATCCATGAATTTTAAGTTCATCATTCAGATAAAAATTCAGTCTGGAAGCATCTGGAAAAACTTTAATGTAATAATGCTTATTGTCTGCTGTGTCAAACTTCCCCTCACATGTACACTGATTTAATATTCATGATTAGTATCAATCCTGCAAACTACAAATTAGACAACGCATTTGTGAAATATAAATTACCTTTGCTTCATTTTCCTTGTTTCAATAAATCTTTATTTAGATTTGCAGCCTTGAAGGAGTATAATACCTATACAAATGTTCTGGAATTCAGGGGGAAAAAACTGCAACCATCAAGATGCTATTTTTAAAATTAGACTGAGATGTTTGCTGTGTTTTCAGCAAGAAATGAGGGCGTGGGAGGGGCAGGGAGGGGCAGGTTGCCTTGGAATGGTCACATTCCCATTAATCCATAGAGAGGAAAAGTGCACTGGCATCAGGGAGATTGGAGAGACTTTTCAATATTCTGGACTGATGTCTCCCCACAGTCCTTTTCCTGTTCTAAACCAAGACCGCCCCTTTCAGCAGGATTATTTATAATATATTTATATATTATTTTACTTTGTAAGTGCTTCTCCTTTAGAGGTGATGGGGGTGGAAAGGGGATAATCTCAGAAGTAGGTTTCATTTTTTCCCTCTTTCTCGTAACTTAGAAATCCCTTTACAGTTTTTATTCAAACTTTTAATTGACTTGAGCATTGAGCAGGAACTGGCATTCCCAAAGGGGAAGAAACAGGAACATTATTAGCCTATTTAAACCAAACGGTGAACAGTACTGTTTTAACAATAAATTGTTGTTGTAATTCAAGGAGTTACTACAAGGGCTTTTGTTGTATTTTCTCTCTCCTGTCCATCTGATAAGGGGCAAAGAAGTTTATATTTGGTGTTAATATATTTAGCAATGAATTTATTAAATGGCTTATGTACACACTGCCATTTTGATAAATATTTTTGCTGGCAAAATGTACCTGAGGCCCCTTACCCTTATAACCACACTTCACTTCCTCAGGCAAGGACCTTGTCAAAATCATCTGAAGTAGAAAATAAAGGTAAGTTTGAAGTTAAACAAAAAACCCACCCAAAATTTTCCAGAAGACAGTCAGAAATCTGCAGTCAAAAAACCCTAGTTTATAGGGCTGTGAATAATAAATCTAAATTACCCAATAATTTCAGAAGTTTCTGACACAAAATAAAAAAGCAGCTACACTGTCTTTCTGTCTGAACTTGACAGCCAACCAGAAGCAGAGGTATCTTAAAACAGCTGCACTCTGACTTGTCTGTGGCCCCAAATTTGGATTTTGAACCCTAGGAATTAACTGCTGTCCCCATTTTGAAGCTTGGTCTGTTCAAATCCAAATATCCAGACACCTGGAACGTCAAGACCTGGTGTCTTCACACAGGTGCCACGCAACCATCATGTAACCAAACACAGTAGCTCCGAACATCACAGCAGCACTTCCAAATGACAAGATCAGTTTCTATCAACAACAAAGACAATGTTTTATTGAACAAATCTATGTACAGTACAAAAGGTCTTTAAAATGAAACACTACTGTAGATTTATTGCAGTTTGATGGCTCAGTTTTAAGTTGTACTCTTATATAAAATGCAAAGTAAAATAATTTAACATTCAACAAGGAAGCACAAATTTCCTTTCTTGCTGAACCTGTAATAGCTTTTACAAATTAAGAGTCCCAAAATGCATACACTGCATTTAATCAGAAAGGTGTTATACAGTACCAAATAAATTAAGAAAATAGTAACACTACCACCCCCTTTGGGTCTTTTGTCCATAGCACTGGTGTTAAACAATAAAAGAAATGAGTACAGCTGAACCTTCCATGTGATATTAAAATCACAAAGTTTAATGTTATAAATTATCCAAACTATACAATTAATATAATTTTAATGAATATGGCTAAATAACCAAAGTACCAGTGACCTTGCCCCACAGATATGACCACTTGCAACCTACTTTCAGTATTTCTTTTGTGAAAGGTGCCTACACCAAACGGCAGTTTTTTGAAATAAGAAGTTACATGACCTTTACAGTGAAACATGATGGGGTTAGAAAAGACACTCTTAAAATCCAACTGAAGGAATGTTATTAAATACAATTATGAGCACTGAATTGCACCAACTTGGATCCAACAAGGCTCCTAAGCTCATGTATGACTTCAGTCAGCTTTAGGGTAGCTGGAGGCTTACATTACACATGTACTTCAGGATTTATTGAATCGAAGTGATACATCTTCAAGGATTTCCAATTATATCACACAATGCTTAATGCCTGGGGAAAAAAAAGCAACCAAAAAACCTCCAACTCTCAAGACTTGTAACCTGTTTTCAGCCTTAGAAGTTGCAGGCTTAGTATGGAGTAATACTCAAGATAATAAAGAATCCTTAAAAAGCATGGAGAAGTATTCCACACATGATCAAAGTATCTTTTTGCCTCTGATTAAAGTTGCTTAATACTGCAACTATCTGAGAATACTAACAGGTATTAGAGAGTAGCTTAAAGAAAATGCAGTGTCTTTTGAAGTGAAAATAATTATTTTAAAACATTACCACCCACTTGCTACTTTAAATCAGTTTCACAGATTCCTGGTAATTGTTAGGTGATGCTCATCCTCACCTATGTAAGAATTCGTATTTCCTGTTCTCCAGAGTGTACACACTGAACACGACAGAAACAAATGGTGGTGTCCCAGAAAAGCATCTTTGAACAAAAATGGCTTTAATGCAGGTACAAAAAATTATGGTCACAGTTTATGCATGTACACAGATGCAATTATCTACACACTTAAACCAAAGATAATACAAGTCTCAATCATGTTTTTAAAGCATCTTCAAACGTATGGAGCTCCAGGGAAACGGCAAAAAAGCACCAAAGATTAAAAGGTACATTAAAAAGATTTTACATAAACATCTTTGTTGTATCTTTGTTGACTCAGCTTTTAGATTTTCAGAACTGTAATACTTTAAAATGAACTTTTTTTTCCCCTCAAATATATTTAAGCAATGTCAAGCAAAGAAGGGGGAGCCTGGGAACATTCAACACAGTACCTGGGTCCTTAACAATTAGTTGGTATCTTGAAAGTAAAAAATGTGAAAGTGCATTTGTCTGATAGGGACCCCATTAACTTTATGTTTAAAACTTTTAATGTTTTTATACATGTAAATATATATATAGTGTGTATATACGTATATATAATGAATGATGCATTTAAATCAGGTTTTTTGCGACTACAAAAAAATTCTTTGGTGCCTCAAACATCATACAAATCTCTGGAAGTGGGCCATAATTGGAATTCATGTAATGCACACATACCTGTGATCATAATTTTATAACCTTTTATGTTAATCCAACTCAAAGTTAAGGCAAAACTCTTCTAGAACTCACGAACATGATTTTGAATTTGCATTCTTTTCACCTTGCAGGAAGGGGAAAGAAAGCAGAATTAATGCAAATACCTGTTTATTTCCACAGAGGATTATTAGCAGAGGCATTACTGAACTACTGAGTTTATGTTCCAGAACTACTTCACAGCCAATCTTACAAAGAAACCCTTAGGTTTGCAAGTGTGAGCCATTGCTACAATGAACAGGGGGTTTTATGCACCCCCTGATTTTTTACTCAATTTTCACCCACCTGTTGATTTAAGCCCTGCACACACTGGGACAAACTCTTCAGTGACAGCTGAGCAGGAACAGTTGCTCTGTGCTGTCCTGCATTTCTGCAATGACTCTGAACATCAGTTTTCACCCCTCTGCCTCCCCTGCCTGCAATCCCACTACAATTTTCATAGAACAGGATCCCAAATTTAAAAAAATATTATGTGACAAGGCAGTGTGAGATGAGCTAGAGGATAGATTAGCACAGTAACTGGGCAATGTGCATGTTTGCCACACCTCTGCCCTAGGGTAGGAAGACCAAAAACTTCAACGGCATCTTTTTGGTTTCAAAATCTTCTGTATTTCAGTTTTCCATACAGAACTGAAGGACTCCTATTTCCTGTCTTCACATTGTGATTGTTTCTATGAACAGTGGATTGTGAATAAAGTGCTTAACATTTAAGTAACTCCTTCACCAGCCTCTGAGAAAGGCTCTCCTTTCAAGGGATGCTACTAGATAGGATTGCTGTGTCTTCAGGATTGAGAGGATCCCTGTTTTCTCCTTCCTAGGCAATGGATAAGTAAGGACAGTACTGAGTTGTGGCTCACCACCACTAAGCAACATCACAGATGTGAAACAGGTTCTTCCTCACCTTTTTGTTCACCCCAACCTGAAGTGCTCTGCTTTTGTTTGCCTAAAGTTCCTGCCGGTCCTACCAACAGCTGAGGGACCTCTGTACTTGCAGAATATTAGTTTAACTCTGCTCTGTAATGCAAGCTTAACCCTCCCAATATTCTGGATTTGCTTCAATCAGCTGCTGTTAATATCCACACAATCTATCACTTGTGCTGGTCTTCCCACACCTACAGCAGATGTTTTACAGGACACTTATCTCAGCCTTGCAAAGGGCTTCTCTTGCATGCATCTGATTTCCATTGTGTGCAAGTCTCACACAATTTCACATCAACTCACTTTTTCCTGCGTGTTCTGTATTTCAAGTTTTTGGCTATTCCAGCATCCCATCTATCTCAAGATTTCCTTCCACATTGCTCTTTGGATTCTGAGTAGAAATTTATGAATCAAGCTCCATGCTTTTGAGAAGATAATGAACTCACACACTCAAACTTTGAAAAAAAAAAAAACAAAACCAAAATGCATGGTTTCTTTATGCATTTATCCACAAGGTAAGAATGTAACACCTCCTTGAATGATTCCTTCTCAGCTGTGTGGGCAGATACCATTACCCACAAAAACCAGAGCAGCTTTCAGAACTGGCTGGTTGGATTTCCACAAGGCAATGAGCACCTCTGCTTCCTCTGCCTGCTCACCTCTATGCCTTATTGTCCTTCAACTTTCACGCTAGAAAAGCTGTGCCATTAAGCTTCAATCATACATTTGGAATGAACATGGCTTTTTTGGATAACTGGTACTTTGGGGGTTTTGTAGCAACTTTCTTGGACTCAAGACCTGCAGAGCTCCTATTACTCCTCTGTGAGTTTTGTCTAGAAAATGTGCTTTGTCTTTATCAAGGTCATGTTTTTCTATAGGAATTCGAGACTGCTTCATGATTAAGGCCAACTGGGAAACAAATTGATGCTGTTTCATGTAGTGTTTCTTTACACCACTCCTCATCTGATACTTCTCTCCATAACATTGAATCAGGCACCTGTAAAAGACGAAAGATCAGAATGTGAGTAACTTCTTAAATCTAGAACACTGCTTGTTTTTCACCATATTTTGTTTCAAATATGCAAGGAAAGAGAGATTGATTGAATTACTTCATTCTGTTTTATCAGAAGTCTTTTCCATTAGTTTGCCTACAAATTCTCACCACCTCTTGCTTATTCTGAACAGCGTGTCCAATTTCAAATTCCAATTTAGCAAATTTCAATTTAGCAGAGTACTGTGATTTAGTTAGTGTCTGTCTTATCTATTCCTGTTTTCAAAGACCATTTTCTGATTGTTATTGACTGCCAAAGAAACCAATACGGAAGGACTGCAGGACTTACTTTCATCATCTGAATCGAATCCAAAGAGTGTCTGACACTTCTTTTGTGCAAGGTGAGCCTCAAGTGCTTCTGAATTACAGTAGATGGTCAAGCAGTTGCCACATCTAAATCTTTCTGTTGATTTGCTACAAATTTTGTCTTGTTCAGAATAAGCATCTACTTCATCAGCCAAAATTTTTCTCCGTTTTGGCATGCTAATGTAACGTTCGTCAAGGTAGCTCGGAGGCAATGGTCTGACGTAGGGTTTTGTTAAGATGACACCGTATGAAGTAGTCTCTGTTGTCTGATTTGGTTTAGAAGGTACTTGTGAGGCTGCAGGAGCACTATTTTGTGGTGCATCGTGACAATTCTGTAAAACTGTTAACACTGACCCATTTTCTGTCCTTGTTTCATCTGCTACTCTGTCCAAAGGTATCTGGGATGCCTTGGATGATGTCTGATCTGGGTCACTGTGCCCATTGACCAGTTGGTCACTAACAACATTACAGTTTTCAGGATTTGGCTGTAACACAGGTGTCTTTTGGTCTATCAAACTTAAAACTGGAGCACTACCCTCAGATGAGCTTTCATTTCCATTGTGAATTACATTATTTGCTTTCTTCTCCACACTTTGAATATATGTCTTTGGTTCTGCAGAATCCTTCCTTGACTTCCAGGTTGGAATTGGTAAATCTACAGTTTCTTTTTCATTAACGGATTCATCATCATCTTGGTAACTACAAGGTTCTGAAGGATCATCTGAAGAATCTTTTTCACTTGCATCTTCTGAACATTCTGGGGTTTTATTTAAGTAATGCTGAGCCTCGTGTTCATACAGCAAAGGGAGCTCCTCAAATAGCTCACGGCAGTTTGAGAAATTGCACTGAGCTTTAAACACATTGTGACTTTTTGTATGCTCTGCAAGCTCAGTCGACAGCTTAAATCTCTGATTACAATTAAAGTGTAAACAAAAGTAAACATTTGGATACACATGTCTCTTCAGGTGGTCTATAAAATGTTGGGAATCAGCAAATTTCCTCTGGCAGAAGCGGCATTTTCCTTTATTCCATTTCATTATATGCTGTTGCACCTTCAGATCAGTTGGATGAGTTTTTCTGGCGTGTTTGTTGAGGAATCTTATTTTTTTAAACACTCTAGCACAACCATTAGCAGGGCACTTAAAGGTTCCTTCCTCATCCAAAGCATCAATGTCTTTTTCAGGGCAAAACACTCCATTCACTTTATGCAGAATGGGTGACTCTTTACTGGAGCTCTCATCATCCTCAGGCAGGCTCTCTGTACTTAAAGCATCAGGAACATTATTAAAACAGCTGTCACTACTGTTTTCAGTAGCATCATCCTGGTCACTTAGATGGTTTTCCACTGCATCAAAAACCTGTTCTGCATTCTCAGCCTCCTCTTGGACCTGATCAGAACTCGGAGCTACTGTAGCCTCTGGTTCAGTATCTTTGGAGCCCTCAGAATTGCCATTTTCAAGAGACACAGAAACAGCAGAACATTGCACTTCATGAAGAGCCGGGGCCTCCTGACAAGTCTCAAGGGCTGCAGCAAGATGTTGCCTTTCTATCTTCCTGACATGATTCCTTAGGTGCTTCAGCATGAGTCCTTTCTGCCTGAACTTTCTGGTGCAAAGTACACAGGAGAAGCTGCCCTTTTTTTGGTGAGCTTGTGCGTGTTTCACTATGTGATCCCCAAGGAACTCCTTGTTGCAGATCACACAGCAGTGCCTTGGTTCAGTCTGATCCAACGTTTTGGATGGCTCAAGAGCTTGGTGGTTCTTCCTGGCATTCCCTTTGGAACGGGCTCCAGAGTTTCCAGGGTCAAGCTCCCCATTGCTGACATCTGTTAAACAGCCACGTTCCTCACCCAGAGCCCTGTACTCTGCTGTTTTCTCTACATTTGCAGGAGAGTTTTCCAGTGTACTTTCACTCAAGCCATCCAAGGCTTTATCCCCCAATAACGCTAAACAATTCTGCTTGATCATCAAGAAATTCCAGAACTCGGGATCGAAAAACAATCCTTTCTTCAAGATGGGCAGCAGCTCAAACCGCACGCGGTTTTGAACAGAACTAGTGCACTCATTGTATTCTTCATCTGCACATTTATACAAGTGTTCAACAGTGTAGTAAGATTCCAAGGTGCGCTCCAGGAAAAAGATGGAGAGAGCACAAATTCTGAGGATCTCCAAGTCATTTGGCAGAAAATGAGCGATTGCTTTATAAATAAGACTTTTCATGTTGGGATCTTCACGGAGGTCCAGCTGTAGGGCACACCCACATATCTCAACACAGATCTGAAGGCCATCTTCACCAACCTGCAGGAAGGAAATCATAGTGTATGTAAACAATTCCCAAATACCCCACATATTTATATTCATCTATTGATAAACAGGAGTTCAGAAAGCATCCTGCCACTGAACTTCACCCAAGGGCACGAACATTTTTAAATATTGCTCAAACAAGGTTAAAAATACAGACACAAAAATGGTTTGCACTGAAAGCTGTACAGCTACAAAGCTTCAGCTCTGCCCCATGCAGTTCTATAGTTAAAGACAATTGTTTGGGGATATAGACCAAAACTGCTGATCCACAAAACTACTGATCTATCAGTATCTTCTGCCTGCCTCCTCAATGCCTAGGCTGTTTCACACTGTAATTGGACAGTTTCCTCTATATTTTGGCCATTCTAACTTTTTTTAGTTTGAATTTCATAAAAACCATGGTAATTTTGCTCACAGTTTTGACTAACTAGCAGGAGAACTATAACAACCCATGGCCAAGAATTCTAAAAGGCTTCATTTTCCAAAACTGCAGAATTCCTATTCCACACTTCAGGCTGGGGGCCCTGTCATGAACACGACACTCAGTAATGATCAGAAATACACTGCCCAACAGGCAAGAGATTAAAGTCAAAAGAGGTACTGGAAATTTATAAATAATTAATACCTCCTATATTTGGGTTTTAACAAACAGACAATGCTCCATAAGTAGGGGGTTATTAAAAATATAAGACTATTCAGATGCAAATAGAATTATTAATATCACCACAAGCATTTTAGAATACATACCCTTGACCAGTAGCAAATTATTGCATTTAGATCTGACAAAATAATTTAGAATTCATTTAGGGCACAAAATATGAAAGAGCTCTGTTAAGTCAGGTCAACAATAAATAACATTTGCTGGGAAACAACTCACAGGCCTGTGTGCAAAGCATTGCACATGACACCTTTTGCAGATGGGACAGAACAAGACTGAGATCTGAAGCATGAAATACAGCACAATTTTCTGAAGCAAATTAACATCTTCTCCTGTATTATTCTGCACTTTCATTTTATGTTATATTAAGCATTTTTTTACAGATTTGATTAGAATTGGTAAAAGGATTCAGAATTTAATAAGGATGAAGGGTACCTGCAATTACATAGATCTTATTTCTTCAAGAAGTCAGGCTGAAAAAACCCCAACTAATAAATCATTCACATTTATTCCATAGACTTATCCATTAAACTTGCTGCAAAAAACAGAAAATCTCAGAAATGAGTAAAAAGAAAAAAAAAATCTTAAAACCACCCAAGCAAATCTAATATTGAAGCCCCTTCTGGAACCCAACAGAATTTTAAAGATAATTTTATGTCCTTCCCTAACCCCTCTTTTTTAACTTTCCACCAAAAATGGTCATTACACAATAAAAACATCACTTCTCTTTACTTTAACCAGTAACCGAAAGAATGGAAGATGAGGTAAAAACAAACAGAACTTACTTCATCCTTAATGACTTTCATGAAAGGGAAAATTACTCTGACATTTGTAGCAATTCTTAGAAGCTGGTAGCACTGGTCCACAAATACTTGTTTTGATGGATTAGATTTGAGCTGCAGTTTACTCCAAATGAAGATCAGGTCCCTATTAGGTAGAGAATAAAATATTCCAATTATATTAAGTTTAGAACTCTCTCACTAAGCATAATGCATTATGAAAGACAATTATTTGCATATTCTGTGACTAAAATCATATTTGAGGGTGTAATACTGATCTAATTAACACCACAACTGCACACAACATGCACAATGGAAAATGCATCCTAATTACTTTGTTAAAGCATTCAGGGTATCTCCTATAACCAGCCAGTTAAATATTCAACAAAACATTCATGTATTCAGCTCAGTTTCAGAGAAGTGCACAATAAAATCAGATGGAACAGCACCTAGCTCTCAACACCACAGGCAATAAATATCTGTGTGCTCTTGGAATTAAGTCACTTCCAGTACAAGGATGAAGAATCCTTCAGGGAAAGAAGCTTTTGAATGTGAAACAAGGAAGCAGCACAGGAAGCTCCTGATGTGGCAGGAAGTAGGGATGTTCTCCAGTTAGCACAGCATAATTTTCTGCCTAGAGCACTTACACCAAAGTTTCAGGCTATACAGCTATCCTACATCTCCATGATCTGCAGTCAAATAACATTCCTGCCTGATAAAAGGAAATGTAAGAACAGATTACTGCTAAACTCTGCACAAGTGATGTGTTAGCCTACAAAATACAGCTAATTGAAGTTTGCAGCATAAAAGTTCTGTGCACTTTAATTCAGAGACTTAGGGAGGCAACTGGGCTAACTTTTAGTCACAAGATTTGCCAGAACAAAGATCTCACACAAGGGTAGCTCCAGTTAGGACTCCGGAGAAATCCCACCACAATGTTACAATGAAAGCAGGACCCACTGACTTTCATTTTCTGAAGGAAGACACTTTTCTACTCCAGCAGTCTCCTCCCTCAGAAAACAAACCTAGTTACTGACAAAATATTTGGCTGATTTCCAGAATCAGACAAACTTTTTGAGATTAAGCTTCTCTTCGTGAGCTCAGTCTGAATGAAGGGAAGTGACAGAACTGCCTACAACAAAACCAACTCAACTTTTATGTTCAGGACAGCTCTAGAATTCTGCTTGACATTGAGACCTTGATTGTTTTCTTTCATTTAGAACACAGGAGAACGAACATTGAAAGAAAGATCAAGTTTATGGAGGAAACTGAAAAGGGATACCTATAAGCAGCTCTGCACACAAAAAAATTAGTCTTTCTGATTTTCTAAAGATACAGACTGCTCACCTCTGCCTTTACCAGGCTGGAAACCTGAATTCTACATATTTGCAAACTTCATATGCAAGTTTGATATTAGTGTCTTCATGCACTAAACCATTCTTAACAACTCAGTAGAAGTCTCAACCTGAAGTATAGAAGTAAGAACCGAGTATTTTTACTGTAATATGTTTCAATTCAATAATCTGTTTCATTCTCTGCTTTGCCTCATACCATTTCAGAGCAAGCCATTTCAATACTACTCCCAGAGAATGTGAGAAAAATCCAATTATTCTTCGGAGAGATTAGTGGTTAAAGGGGCTTGCTGTGTGTTCAGACAAGTGCTAGGCAGGCACAAGGAAAGAGCTGAAAAAGGAGAGCAGAAAACTAGAAGGAAGAGCTGCATGGGTGAAGAACAAGGTGTTAACCACCATTTACCTAGACCCTAATATGAAACAGTATTTTAGTCTTTTAGTTTTATTTTTCTGTGTCAACACGATGGCTTCTCCTTTTCATGTCCATTTCTGACTTTGTTGGGACAATTTAAATTGTTACTGGGAGATCACAGAACTGAGCACCTCTTTACCAGAGGTAACCATGCATTCCAGCCTCTTAACTACCTACAAAATACCAAAACCACTGTATGCCTTCACCAGCAACATGAAGTGATGGTTAAACCCTCCCTAACTGAACTGGATCTAAATCTTTGCTACTCTTAATAAGTAGAAAACACAATATGCCAAAAGACTGATCAAACCTGTGGTAAAAATTGTTTGACTTAATGAATTTACTGCATAGGAATTACCTGGAAACAGCCAAAATAGCATTTAAAAAATCAGAGAAGGAAGGCCATCTATGCCTGCTCCACCAAAATACCATATGTCTTCCTGAAGAGACAACACTTTGATACAAAGTATTATGAATTGATTTCTTACCAGTACTTCGCACAAAAAATATTTTTAGTATTACCAAGCACAGCTTGCTTGGTGATTTCTTTTCAGAAAAATAATTTGTTCATCTGAATCTAGAATTTATTCTTAACATCTGTGAAAATTTGAGTTTTGTGACTGAGCTGCTTAAATTTCATCTTCCTTCAATATGACAGCTAATGGTTTTAGCTTGAAGATTTTATATAGGCTGTAGCAAATATCTGCTATTTACAGCTTTCTAATCTGTTTTGTTGTCTTATCTTTGCTTGTAGTGTTAGCAGCTATATCTCTGTTAGATCTGCAAGGCCCTCAGTTCCAGACAAGGCGAGATGATTTATACTGTGCTAGAGACATTAAAACCTTCCCTGGAGAAAACAGACTCTGTAGATTAATTTAACCTGGCTCCTACTTCTTCAAAAAATTGGATTACAGTATAGTCATGCCTTCACAAGCTTTCCTGCAGTTTCCATGACCCATTAAGTATTACACAAAGTTCTTGTTGGGAACACAACTGTTAAGGCTCAGCATCTGTGAAGAATGAAACATCTGTTTGAGCTGCACAGACATAACTGCTCTGAACTCTCTTCCAAAGATTCTAAATTTCTGTATTCTGAATAAATTAAAATACAGAGATGCCAACATTATTTCCCTGAAAACCAGGTATCAAACAATACTTGAGGCTCTACTGGAATTTCATCTTTGACATCTGCTTTGCCAGAGCAAAAACAGATATATCTTGCTTTGAACAGCAAATCCAAAAATGGAGGATGCAAAACTTAATGATCAGCTAGGTAAGAGCAAGGTCAACATGTTACTACAGCAAAAGGAGTTTTAATTACAGTATTAAAAATGCACTTCTTCAAAGAATGAATCCCCCAAACAGAAAGCATTAATCCATGGAGGTTACACCTGTAATTTCCTAGTAAAAAATGGGGAGATACAGCTTTTGGGCAGGAATCAGCAAAGATGGATTCAATTCCCACTGAGCTCACACCTTTTTGGTTGAACTCCCTCTTTCCTATGGGGACAGTCCCAGCCATTTTTTCCTAGATGGATTGGATGAAAAATGCCAGTAGCTATTGCTAACACATTGTACAATAAATGGATGTCATTATCATAACCCTAATGGTTTTGACTGAGCAAGTACTCATCCAACAGTCCAACATTTAAGGAAAAATATTAATATCAAACCAAACATTATCATATCTGACTTCCTTTAATTTCTCAAGACAACAAAGCTTTTTGATTTCCCAGAATCTGGGGACACAAAAAGCCAGGGTAGCTTCTGAACTTGATATTAAAATTAGTTAGACAGATTGATAATTTCATCTCTATCAAATCCTTGCTAGTATATTTTTGCTTTAACTACATAAACAAAGAAAGCATATTTTATCAAGGAATACAGATGTTCCTTTAGAAATTATACAGGCTCAACAGAAGGATTATATTCCTTAGCCACCTTTCAGTCCTCAGAATGATGAAATTTGTTAACAACTCTCTAGAAAACAATTCTTAGCCCTAAGAACAAGTGCAGGTATCAAGATAATTGGATGTGTGCGAAGACATCTTCAATGTTTTCTAGAAAACCCCATCTAGGTGATACCTCTGATCATGACATCCAGGTTTCCATAATTAACAGCACATTTCCAGCACCATACATTCTCTTTTTAGGCACATTGGTGACACATTGCAGTTAAAGAGCAAAATATCTACATGGCTAAAGCCTAAATGTACAAATGTTACACTTCTAGGTAAGATATGTAAAGGCTCACTTTTCTGTTACTTTGAAACAGTAAATAAGAGTTATGAACTATTAGGCCACCTTATATATGACTGTGTGTAAAAGGGCAAACAGGCACAACAGAAGCACCAGGAACATTCAAAAACCATTTTCATCTGGTATTTTTAAGTTAGGTGGGTTTCACTTTGGCAATAAGCATGTATTTTCTGCTCAGCTGCTTCCCCAGAAATAAAGTATTTACCATATACAATACATGTCCCCATTTTGGAGCTGTGGGACTAGGAAGGATTCACAAAGCTGTAAGGCTAAGGTAGTCTTCCCTTCTTTTTCAGTGTTGCAGATGATCTCAATTCCACTCTTGCAATCAGTCCTCAACAAGTGCTATACAATTAAAATAAAATCAATTTAGATCAATTTGCTGACATGAAATCAAAACCAATCAGACCCTGCTCTACTAAAAACTTCAGGAATTGCTATTAGCACAGAATGTCTTTGGAATGGCTTTTGTGTACATCTGTAAGTAAAGTTTTTGAAAGTAATTTGAGTTCTTTCATATTTCTTAGAGTTATGACCATCAGAATAATTGTCTGAGAAATTAAAATACTACACAAAAGCACTTTTTTTGCTTGTTCTTGCCACTTTTTGGTGTCTTGTTCTTAAAACAAGGTTAAGAAAAGCACTGTTATCTACTAAGTGCTATCAGTGATAAAATACAGCTACATTCAGCTCAAGTGCCATTTTACATATTAGGGCATCATTAAAAAACTTTAACAAAACTATAAAATGTACAATTAATATCAACTAGGCTCAAGTGCTTTTACTAAAACAGTCAATAGTAAAATAGTCAATACACTTAGGTTACAAAATATTTAGGGAATATACCTACAAGAATACTTGACCAAAAAACTGCATTTAGGTCAACAAGATTTGTAGGCACTTCACATTCAACTTTTCCCAGCTTAAGCCCGTACTAAGTTTAGCAATACCAGTGTGGCTGCCTGATTTTATGACATTTGGTTCCACAAAATCAGAGTTCCACATGCTCCTCTTGACAACTTGTATACAGCAAGTATAAAGCACCACTTCATTTTAAAAAAGAAATGTATACTGACAAACAATACCTCCTGGAATAGCTGATCTTCTAATGGTGACATATAAAGACAGGTGAAAAGAGCTTGATGGAAATACAGATCTTTACTGATATCTGGATGATTTATGCAAGATTTGATAAGAGCCATTGCCTCAGGGATGCGTTCACAGGCAATAAGGTATCTGGCACGGAGTTCAAAGAACAGTGGATTTTCAGAGCTTAAATATTTGTTAACTGCACAGAAAAGAAAGATTTAAAGGCAATTAGAATATGAAGTCCAAACAACAAATATACCTAAATGTAATGCTGATTTTAATAACAAATAATATTAAGAAAAAATAAAGGCTCTGCTAAAAAAGTCTATAAAATATTAAATTAAATCCCATAAGAAATCTGCCCTTCTGCTTGCAAACAGAAATTGTTATTTTTTTTAAACCAGTAATCTAATTCAGTATTTTGTTACTAACAGGTTAACACAAGGTGCTGCAAAGGATTGGTAAAATTTATATTATATAAAGCAGATGTGACCATTTTAAAGAAAGAAAATTCGCTCCTTTCTCAGCAGTGGAATCCATGTGACTGTCAGAAGTATAGGATTGACATCACTTCCAAAGCTATAATTATAAATATTAAAAAAAAAAAACTCAAGATACTCATTATCCATTAAAATGTAAGACCTCAAAGTGGTGAAAAATGTTAACTACAATTCATATGCTATTGCCTTAAGAAGCTTTGAATGCCTTGATTTTGCTTGCTTGGAAAACATATCTTCCTGTGCAAGTGCTACTGGGCACAATCCTTATCTAAATATCTTTAAATTCTGGCCCCTAATTTCTGGAAATCTGTTTTTTTCAGCTCCATAAGATAATATTAACACTAATATTTGAATGAAATAGTTTCAAGTGAGATACTGAAAATACTCAACATTGAAGTAACTGAAAATTCAGAAATACCTAGAAGACATGCTTTGCATCTTTATTATACAAGATCATACAGATTGTAGTATCTCTTTGGATTAAAAGTTAAAATATCTCTCAAGACTACAACCGTAGTACTTTAGTGTTTCATGTTTTAAATAAAGAAAGAAAGAATGAGACTATCAATTTAAAGCCAGTGAAGGCTGAAAGTTCACCCCTTAGAAGGAATCTGTATTAATTACAAGCAACTTAAAGTGATACTTAAGAAATGGTTACTAAAAACCAAAATCCGAACAAAGCATTTTTTCCCCCAAAATGAAGAGATTACCTGTACAATAAGCTTTCAGTTAAAGCCTTTTTTTTTAAGGATTGAAATAATTCCTTACACTCAAACCCAAGATTTCTCTAGCATCTTTATTTTTATGCAAGTTAGCGGTGTTCCATGCTAATGAACATTTAAGCAGTATTATTCAAGGTGTCAGGTTTCAATTTGATTTGTTAACAGATGCACTGTAAGAAAAAAATCTCATTCCCACTATCCATTAGCACTTTTGAGAACAAACTCAGAAAACGAGGACTAAAAGGAAAGCCTGTGTCTAATGGTGGTGATGAACTGCAAGAAAAAGTTCTTTTCCATGATATGGAAAGGTCCTTAGAGCCAAGTAAAGGCCTCTCCTTTTCTGAATTACCACCCTTAGGAAAATAAACTACATCCTCTGTTTTGTATGCAAGTATTACCCAACAGAAATTTACTGAATTACTGAAAAATAAGGCTGGAAATACTCAGCTTTGGTAAGTGCTAATGGTAAGGAAATGCTGCCCATCTAACAAGTGTCTGTAACATCCTTGCCCCTTAAAGGAGGAAGAATGGCATTCTGCAGCACAGCTCACCCTGTTCTACCATTCCCACTTGGTGTGGGGAACTCTCAGGTCCCTTCTGCTCCAGAAATGAGACTGACATACTCCTCTCCCAGGGAAGGGCATCTCCATACCCTACACCACTGCCAGCAGGAGCTCCCAAGGATGAGGGTTCCTACAGCTTCCAGTTTTCAAACTGTTTCATTGATGCTGCTGGCAGGGCAGTGTTCCCTCCCTGTTGTGGAATGTCCTATTTTCCCAGGGCAGCACACAGACCTCTTCTAATGCCCTAAGCCAAAGACAACTGCCAGCTACAGTAGCGTTTGGCCAAGCCTGTGATACATTAAGAAACAGCATTTATTCTTACCCAGGCAGTGATGCTTTGCTTTAGAGCTACAGACATCAACCACCACTCAGAAACTTATTAACCATCTGACTGGACCTCTGTAATATTCTCTTCTAGATGCTCACCTTATTCTCCCCAGTCCATTACAAGTTGACTGTTCCTATGTTTCAACCCTACTATTTTTCTTTCAACTCAATGGCTGCTTTGTTTCCAGCCATCTCCAAACAGATTGTGACATCTCCAAGTTTAATACAACTCATATAAAGACAGACACAGAGAGGTTTATCTGGGCCTAAGCTTCTCCATGGAGTTAATGAATCCAGGACAGGATTATGTAGTTCACACAAACTGATTTTTGCAAGGAATGGTTGGTGATTCAGCAATAGACAGTTTTTTCTATTTAAAATAACCCCTGAGAGAGCTACATGGCCAAGTTTCAAAATACACACTAAACACTGCTAGCCTATAAAGCAGCACAGGATGTTTGCTTTGTGCAAGACTTCACAAGAATCAAATTTTAGAGGAAGTGAGAGGAAGAAAGAACAATATTTCAAAATATAATTGTCTAAAATATAAGGTTTTTCAGCACAGATGAGATGTGTCAAGGATGTGTGTGGGGATATCAGAAGATAAAAGGAGAGAAAAATCTCTCAGCAGAGGGGAAGGAGCTGCAGCCTGAAACAAAAGGGAACAAAGTACTCATCTAGTGATAACAGCTCTCATTCCTGCTCTGCCAGCTTAAAAACAAACATCCTCAAACTGTTACCCATCAGAGAGAGGATTCATGATGATCAAGAGAATCATTATAGCAAAGGACTAAACTAATTCTTTGCTGGAGAGATGGAGATCGAGACCTAATTCCACATCACAATCACCAAAATCATGCGATGCAGAACAAAACAAGGTTCATCTTGGTTTTTATTTTGTTTCTTTAGGTATTTCCCCACAAGTTTATGAGATATCTAATAAAATCATTGGCAAATCTGTTGCTACAGCAGTTGCTTCACAAAAGAGATAGAACAACAAAGGCATAATGATGTTAATTTGCTATCCAAACCCTTGTTCTGGTAAAGGAGGCAGCTCACAGAGCTGTCCTGACTTTAGTACTCTTCCTTTCTCTCGGTGAACACACTGTCACAAACACAGTGATGAGTTTGTATCAGGCACTACACTGTAAGAACTAGGGAAGAACTAGCATTTTCCACCACTATCAAATAAAAACAACTTTTAAGAGCTCCCCTGTGAACACTGTTGCTTAACATGTTAGTAAAGACTTTACTGTAGCTTGAGTATTTATCCCCTTAGGAACTTTCATTAACATTCCAGTGATTTTGTTCCCATGAACTGCACCTTTCCCAGCTCCAGAAATTACATATCCATAAACAGAAAGCAGCTGTCACATGTAGCCATGGGCATCATTGGAAACAGAACCAAGAAAAGCCACAAGACCAAGTATTTACAACTGAAGAGAAAAATTAAACGAGTCATAGTGCCAGGAGGCAAATACAAATCAGATCTTCTCCAATCACGTTATTTCAGGAGTCAACTGAAGTCAAGTTGCTCTCCATGATTTAAATGTACACTTAGATTTGGGAAACCCACCCAATCAATTTTATTAACTACTCTGTAGCGACCTGTGTCTGACCAATCTGATCTCTACATTATAAAAGCAGACTTAAATCAGCAAAGAAATTCAGCTTTCTTTCAAACAAGAAAGGGACCATTTTACTACAGAAAAATAGTTAAAACACTGCAATGCCAGCTGATAACCTGATCCCATATATTTTTAAAAAGCAAAATTGAACACATTTTTCAGTACTCTAGAAAATTACTGTGACAAATGAAGTACCTAATTCCTGTGACACAGGCTTTGCTTTAAGAATTGCTTGTAATACTGGATCCTCCCATGGTCCACCATCTCGAATGATTCGAGTCACTAGTTCCAGGTTCAGATTCCTGTATTTATTTAGAAGGTTCTGACATTCCTAAGTGTAAAAAGAGAAACAATTAGAAAGAATAAAAAGATGTTGTCTAAAAATAGTTAGGCCATCCCAGAGATACAAACCAAGAAAGCCATGCATGGCTGAGAATTTCCTCAGTCAGTAATTTGCGCTACAAAGTCTTTCACTGACCATACAGAAAACCCTAAAACAACTGATATTGTCTACAAACAGCAATAAAGAATTGTATAAGATCAAATTCACAATTCTAGGGCCCTCAGAAAGAGCCTTCCATTTGTATAACAATGCAAAACCAACTTGGATTGGAGGTATTACTGGTGTACTCTGAGACAAGTCTTCGACTCATGGCAGCATGCACAGACTTAAGACATGTTGAGCTGGATTTGTGATTTCTGAGGGGAAAACTGAATTAAGCCATGAGTCACCAGGCCTCCAGCAACCACTTTTCCCCAGATTTCTACATAACAGGAATTATGTTTGCCTGTAATATCATGGAATGCTTTAGCCAGCCATGATTTTCACATGTCAAGTTCCCTCTCATCCCCGCACCTTATTTGCTGTAAAAGTGTCAACAACACCATTAATCAACAGAACATTTTAGTAACGAGAAAGTTATTTAATACTGAAACAAAAAATGCAGCAGAAGAATGGCTTCCATCCACATATAATTACCTGCTTTTCATTGCCAGTTTGATTACACAACTGATCCAGAAACAGTGCTAGCACATTAATTTGTAGAAGCAGTAATAGACAGGTATCAACATAAAAATAGCAAAGGAAGAGCTTTTTCTCAAACTGTATTTTACTGAACAGTATTAATAGATCCTTTCCATCCTTTCTTTCCCTATCAAGTTTCCTCTCATGGTGGCACAACCCTAAAAATCCGTTCAGGTATTAAAAAAACCCAAACAAACCAAACACCACACTGACCTGGGAAAACAAGTTTTTAATCCAGGGTCATTTATTTTATGCAGTTTTATGTAGACATAGAAAACTGTCTCAATCTACCCAATAATAGAACAATTTAAGCTATCCATGTTTATGCTGACTTGAAAACTTCATTAAGATTAAGCTTTAATTTTAAATTTACTGTTTAAAACCAGAGGGGCAAGATGATATTTCATGTCATGAACTGAATGACATTAAGCTCCAAATAGACATAAACAAGCAGAGTTTCTTTCACTATAATGGCATGTTTCCTCCAGGTCATATATTCACAAAAACTGTCTTTACATCAACTAAAATAATATTATAAATTTATATGAAAGTAGGCAACACTACCTGGATTGAACCTAAAATATCTTTCAAAGGATCTTCATAGAACTCATCCTTTCCAAAGAACAGCAGCAATTCAAAAAAACTCCTAAAAAACAGAAACAGCGACAAGTTAAACTTAAAACATTGATTCAAAAAATTAAAGTACTGTAAGTCTCTTCACAGGACTCTAACCAAAATTAGGAATTCTGTAAATTCTAGACTTATGCCCACATGGAGTCACTCAAAGGTTTTTGCTGGCCAACAATTCATGTTTTTAGGCACTTTCTACAAACACACTTCATTTCATTTCAGCCTGTCTTGCCATAACTGAAGTCTTTCTATGAAGATGTTGGTTTAAAGGTATTAATTATTCTATCTTTTCAAAAAAAGCTTTTGGGATTATTTAGAAAGGGATAGCTTTTGTGCAAATATGCAAACAAAACTGCGTTCACGTTTTGTGTGGCATTCAAATTCATACAACTTGAATTTTACCACCACCAAGTTTTTAAGCAGATCTCTGTCCAGCAAGATGAATTCACAAGTGCTACCCCAAAAAGAGGTGGTAGAAATGGGTGAAGATAACACTTTCCAAAAGCTGCTTAGATTCAGACTTATATTTGTGGCCTCCATGGTTTTTTAGCATCTTAAAATACCAGTCTAGCATTTTATTTCTTTTAAATCCTGTTACAGGATCAGAGAGGTTGGTAAAAAGCAGCTTTCAAGATCTCCTTTCAATTCAGGTTTTCATTTATAAAAGCCTCCTTCCAGATAATGCAGTTGAGTCAATTCAATCAAAAACTTGGCAGTCAGAGCTCGTGGATCTGCAGTGTAAATGTTACTGTTCTGCCTCTAGATTCTGAGAAATTTCATTTCTACCTGGAAAAAGTACCGGGCAGGCATTGCACTAATGAGCTGCAATTGATGATTGAGAAAGTCAAGAACAGCAGACAAGAACCAAGCAACTCTCAGAGGGACAGGCAGGACTTCAAAAAATATTGTGCAAATTAAAGGCACCTTTTTCTCCTCAGTAACATTTTTAGGAATACTGGGCATTAAAAAAGTCTTAACACTCACAGGAAAAATTAAGTTCTCTATAGGAATAATGGAAAAGTACCACAAAATTAGATTTACAATGGGTTATGCTGAAGTATTTTTTTTTTTTCAACCAATGATTAACTATGCCAGAAACAGGCTTAGAGAAATAGATATAAACCTATTACATTCAGTGACAGAATTTCTCTCAAGGCTAGGTCTTAAATCTCAATTACAATATGCAATGAAAAAACAATCCATACCCAAATAAGTACTTGGTTCTGAAAAAACATTATCTCATTTCATGTGAAACAAAATTTTGCAGCACACTTGATTCTCAGGAAAGGTCAGTCATGAGTCATGATCTGGCAAGCAACCAAACTGGAACTTAAATAATAAGACAAAACGAGTTTGAGCAAGTGATGCATGCTTGTATTTAAATTTGCTTTGACTGATTTAAAAAGAGGAGGATCTTGCAAAAAAAAAATAAAAATCTGGAAGCCAATAGTGAACAAGTGTAAACTGTGATTTTCTGCTTTATCAATGCACCTGCTCACAGTCTAATACCGGAAACCATCAAAATATTTTTATTTCCTCATCACCAGTCTCCAGTTAAAATGACTAGTCAGTTCCAACTTTGTTTACCTCAAAACTGTTTGCAGCACTGCATATCCACATTTATATCCATCTAGATTGATCACATCACTGCCTTGGCATCACAAGATTGCCTAAAAACACCAGTGTGCTACCATTATAAAACCCCCTGACATTAAGCAGATGCTGCTTCATTCGATACGAATTGCAAGGTTATTAAGTATAGGAAATAAACCAGTTGCTCCTGTTACCAGTTTATTGTCTGGTTACCAAGGAAATCTTACTCAAGGATGACAATACAGTCAGGCAGAGTTTTGCTCTCCAAGAACTAAGACCTAATACACAGTGAATTTTCAAAAGAGATTCAAGCAAGGTTACCCAGGTAACTGCAGCTACTAAGCCCTGGGATCCCTTTATATCACATCACATGCAAAACTGTGCTAGCCAGGCAGAAGAATAAATAATCTGATATCCTAGAATGGAAGCAAATTTCATTGAGTAAACCCAGTCTCAAAAATCAAAACAGACAAGGGTGACAGGAATTAAGTGACCAATTTACTTGTCAATTATCAGAATGTATCCATCCAAAAGAATACCTGCATTTCCACCTTTCTACCTCCCAAGCTTTGCTATTTAAAAGCACATATAAACATGGTTTGAACTTCGATTTTTTTCCCTTAAAACTAGTGAAAAAACCCATAGCAACAGATGTCACCATGTTTTGACATAACTTTGAACATTGTGGTCTTATGATGCCAGAAATAGTCCTCTGTCAAACTGTTTCACACACACAAAACAGGAAATGTCCACAGTGAAGCTTCAGCCACATATAAAGACAACACTTATTTTTCCTTATGTACTTATTACCCTGACACTTCCAGTCTTCATGTAGGAAAGTGACCAATGCATCTAGAAAATTGAAATCAGAGCAAAATTTATGGCAGAACATTCAGCAATTCTTGCAGCTGAATGTGACTTTGGGTCAGTTAACTGCATGACAAGTAATTCCTGTAAGCGTTTTGATGACTCAAACATAAAAATCCAAACAATTTTAAAGTAACTAACTTCTCTCTCAAGAAAATTATCTTAAGAAGTACTTCACTTATTACATCACTAGAAGTACAGAAGTAAAAACTTGAGATAAATGACTTAAAATTATTTACTGGCAAAGGTTGGTCTTCAAATACTCCAAATTAAGGTTATGATAATCACTTATTTCTGAGATTATTCATTTTGCCAGACATCCCTTATGACAAAACCCTGTCATAGCCTACTTGAATATTTAACAAGGATACAAAAAAGACAAAACTAAATTCTACTTAGTAATTCTTGGTTCTGTGTAGCTACACCACCTGTAAAACCTTTCTAGGGAGCTCTGAGGATCTGAAACCCTTTTGCTGTGCTATTATAAAGGAAGGAATAATAAAAATGAAGAAGTACTCACAAAGCAAGGCTACTCAGCACATACTGTACGTGCTCACATTCGGCTGGGAATGACACGCAGGCAGACGTGAAGCAGCACAGTGCCGTCTGCAGCACCTGGAGCTGAGGCAAAGGGACCTGCCATCTTCCAGCATAGTCTTCAACAACCTAGGCAAAAACGTGGAAATATAGATTATTATCCAAGACATCCTCCTTGGTCAGAAAGAGGAAGCAGTTAACACTATACCTGCTCCCCTCCTTCTCCCTCAGGAGCAGAGTTTGTAAGCTAAAAAATTTCACTGTTTTCTGGTTTATGACTTATATAGTGAAAAGAATATCACAAGGGATCTTCAGATATTCTTTTCAGAGGATAAGACAGGAAATACTTTCTTCTTATGCTATACCATAGTAGATATTGCACTCTGCACTTAAACACAAGTTTTTATTTTGCAAGGGGATGCTAATTAAGAGTCTGTAACAACATCCAGACGTTCTAGTCTAAAAACTTTCCAAGAGGGGAAAGAGTAACCTGCATTCTTCCAGCCTTTATGTCAGCAGAGACAAACATTCCAGTCACTCTTCCTTAACTGATCAAATGAGTAAATTTGGCTTTATTTAGACATAGGATGGATCTAAGGCAGCAGCAGCAGAGATGGATTCATACTCTGTACATAGATTCTAAGTTTTCCAAACTTATTTTAATCATTTGTTTGAAAAACTGTTAGCTTAATGCAGCAAATATCTAGGTCAACTGAAGAAGAAGCAGACTTGTAGGTGAATATTCTTCCTAAGAAGACCAAACATTTTGTAAGATAGTCCTGCCTCACAGATCTATTAAGAGTTCCCAGAAATAGTTTTAGTCAAGTTCCTTTTATAGAAAACCACAAAAGCCTTAGAAAAACAAAGTAGACAGAAAAACATCCTTTTGAGGTGTGAGCCTCCAAAAGGTCAAACAAAGGTAGAAATAAAGTATCACTTCCCACCAGGATGTTTCACAATTCTTGCACCTGATAGGCACAGTACAGATAAGTTCATAAATGATTTCAAGCAATAAAACAACATTTTGTGTCCCACTGTACAGCCCTCACTGCACCTCCAGCACTCATCTGAACCCAATGTAATCTCAATTAGGAAAGAACGGGCAGGGAACATCCTCTTCCAAAAAAAAGCCATCAGTCCCAGTCTGCACCAGCTCCTCTGTCACACAAATACCAGAGCCAGCAGAGAAAGGAACATAACAGCAACACCACCTTGGCTTGGCAGTTGTTCTGCAACTCAAACATACTGAAATAGCTTCACAGCAACAGTGCCCTCATCCCAAACTGCTCAGGAAAAGTAGGAATAGCAACCTTTTCGCTGAATGTAGATAACCTGAAACCATTAATTCTTCAGTGGCAGGAAAAGAGAAGTCTAACTGGTCAATCCTCAGAAGATTTGCAACAATCAGGAAAAGATGGGGGTGTGGGGAGTGTATGGACAAAAAGCTAAACTAAACATAAAATAAATTCTAAACCACACTTCACACACATTCTATACATAAGGAGGGGCAGGGAATAATGTATACTTCAATGTCTGTTTTTAAGTAATCCCATGGAATAACTTCTGTAATAGAAACCAAGCTCTTTTTTTTGTACAAAACACTCAAGATGCCATGCTTTGAAACAGGACTGCAAAGCAGAACATAAGTAAAAGTTTATCAGCACATTTTGAACAGACACATTAATTTCAATGTAATGAAGCCAACCAAAAAAGAAGCACATAATATTGTCAAAGCACAGTGGCCTGTTCCTTGTCCAACGCTCAGGAGAGAAGACCAGAAGCAAAGCAATCTTTTATATGTGACTTTTTGTAACAGTTGCTTTCAAGTTCTCTGTTAGAGTGCAATTTTTAATATTCTTAAAGCATCCTACCCCCCCCAGTCTGTCTGTACCTGCCAGTGCTAGTAAACACAGAGGGACCGGGCCTGTTTTGTTTTCCCTCTCATTTAGAGCAGATAAAGATACTGAAAGGAGGTTGAAGCATCTACCTGACACCAAACTCCCCATTCAGCTCCACCTTTCTCCCACACCAATACACTACTTCTCCTCCTTCAGTAGGTTTAAATAACTCACAGGAAAATCCAAGACTCAGATGTGTCCCATTAAAACAAAATCAAGACCAGACTTATCAAAAATTCCTGAGCACACAGCTAAGGCAGCTAACTCCAAAAATAACAAGGTAGTAATTAAAAACCTGAACTAGTGAAGCAATAGCTTTTCTTGGAATATTATGTTTTAACTGATTAATTATACACATATTCTAAGTGATTAAATATGCACATATATAGTTATTTGGCTATATTTCAAAGACTTAAGAGAAACAGCATTGCAAATGATTAGATTTACAAATACACAGGACACAAACCCCAAATGTTTTACGCAGTGCTAGGCCACAAGTTGCTACAGCTTTTCCTATTCCTACACACAACAAAAAAAGAAGCTACAAATCCTACCAATTTTAAAAGCTTATCGTTACTAAGATTTCAAACAGTATTACTCTCATAGTTTTTGTGAGATTTAACAGTAAAGTCACCATGGGATTAAAACCACAACAATTATCTGAGTTTTTCTCTTTATAGTTTTCAGACACAGAAAGCTTCTTGGCAAATATAATGGTTGTCATTCCTTATAATAGACATATGTAAGGGTTGTCACATGAGAGAACATGTGGGCAAGGTTAGAAAAAACGAAGTTTCCTGAAAATTAAACACCTACCACCAGTTGCCTGATCAGCAGAAATACCAGAGCAGCTCAGATACCAAAGTTCAGCTCTAGAACTTGGGTAACACTACATTTACTCTTCCTGGAAACACCACAAGAAATAACCACAGCTTTTAAACTATCTTTTGAACCTGCTCAGTGCATGAAGAGCATTTTGTTTTGTTTCCAAATACAAAAAAGCCAACCATGTCCTTACAAATAAGGATTTTACTATCCAAATAGAGAGCAGGAAAACCCTGATGACTTCAGGGTAATATGAAATATTACTTAAAATGTGAAAGTTTAAAATGGCTTTATACTAAAATATGTAAGCAATGGCTTTACTCCAATTCACATGTGAATATTACATAAGGAGTCACCAAACATAATCACACTTTTGGCAAAAGAAAACACAGCACCCAGCAACAGCATGACACATCCTATAAGAGAAGTTTCTACCCTTAAAGCTTAATGCTTTCCCCCTACTCTTAATCACCAAAATATCCATCTCCATAGCCTGCCTGAGCATAGAACAATTCCCAAGATTGGTACATCACATTTAGCAAGCCAAAAAGTCATGTATGTATATAGTCTGTCACTTGCACAACAGTCAAAACTATACATTAATTCAGTTTGGGCCGATTGGACCACTGTAGTAAGTGTTCCTATGTATGCTTTCTGGATAAGAGATAGATATATATACTGAAAAACAGAAATATTCCTCCTCATTTTGATTAGCACCTCACCCTCCAAATGAAAGTCAGCTAATAGAATACATATAAAATATATATAAAAGTGTGAACTGTCAATCTTATGAACACACAAATGCTCATATCCACATCACTGGTAACCAGTAAAATACAATTTACTGGTGTACCAGTGAAGAAGTACAATTACTTTTTTTCCTCATCTAAACAAAAGGATGTAACATGGATTTCTGCATTACCTCCTGCACTAAGAGTGCCTTCTCTAACTTGAAAAACCCATGTAGCAAAACTATCAAACAGACAGAAGGATCACTTAATGGAGATCCTTCCTTTAGATATAAAAACCTGCAACCGCTTTCTAAATTATAATCCCAATACATTTTCTAGGGAAAAATCATGAACTTATTTTCATACAAAAGCTATATGCAATGAAAAGGCATTAAAGCCTAGAGAAGTAGGAATACCAAGATGTTTGTAAGTGTCAAAGAGGAAAGTTTCAGAAAGGTAAAAAGATGTTACAAAGATAAGAAAAGTCTCCAATGTATTGCACAAATGTTTCTTTTGGAAAATACCAACTTCCTAATCCCACTTGTAAAACAGAGAGATCATTTCCCAGGGTAAAGCTAAGAGGACAGCAGGCACAACAGCTGAGGAGAACCACCCAGAGTATGTGAATAAGAAAAGATTTTATGCGGCTAATGACAAAAGCACTGAAGACTGGAAGCCAGAAGGAATCAATCTTCAGATAAAGAGGTTGCAATTCAACTGCTATTGTGAATTCTCATGAATTGACTGAGGAGCCAAGCTCACTTCACCCACAACAGCCCAGTTTTGCATGACAGACCCTTATCAGTTTTCCCATCAAGTGTCAGAGGAACGTCTGACACCACCTAACCCGGCCCAAGGACACCCTTCTGCAGAGAGGTAAATCTTCACCACAACTGGAAGTTCACCTTGGCACCCAACTTGGCAGTAAACACCACATGATTTTGCCACATCTGTTTCATAAGGATTTCCTTTTAAACATGAATTCACTTGAATATCAAGCAGCACAACACTAAAGTACCAATAGGTAAACTGAACACGCTGGTTTCCCCAGTCCCACATGTAAAAAATACCATGACAGGTTTTTAAAGTTAAATCGTTTCAAGTAGATATGGTACTCTTTGAAATTTAGTTACTGGAATGTATGATTGGCCCTTTGCAAGCTTTCATGTAACAAGTCGTATCAACACTCAAAAACATGAAAAAGTCAAATACAACTTACAGTGGTGCTCTTAAAATTTGAGCCATTAACAAGGATAAAGCATATTTGTTCAGGAAAGTACAAAACCCCCCAAACATCAACACCACAAATTATTACACGAGCAAATAGGTGGTGAAAAATTACTGATTCTTCCTTTTCAGAGAAATAAGCTTCAAGGATGTTGAAGAAATCACTTTTCACTACTAGTATTCGGGTGTAACTGAGCCTAAAAATGGTGTATGTAGATCAAATATGGATCCCAAAGGCATAAAATTTGATAAAACAGAAGTCTGGTTTAACCTAACAGTTTGGGGATTGTTCTCGTTTTGTTTTGCTTTTGTTTTTTTAATATAAAAACAACTTAACCACTATTGATTTGAAGTCCAGAGCAAAAGACAAAAGCAAAAACTTTCAATTTTGGGCGCAAAAAGTGTGTAATGACATTAACCCCAAAGTAAGAAGAACAAACATCTAAAGTTGTATTTTTTTTACTTCCATCACCACAAAGCAAGACAAACAACAGTTGAGTCACACATCCCTCCCTGCCTAAAATAAATCCAGGAAATACTATCTTCTCTGGTGTGTTACTATATTTTACTACTTAACTTTTTTATAAGCCCAATAATTGTTTTTCCACCAATTAATGTAAGCAAATGAGGTAATCTTTCTTTCAGGGGTGGAATCATCCTGGAAGGCTGTAAGCTGATGCCACAGGAAGAACAGATCAAGGCGTGTTTATGCCTCACAGCATCACCTTGTTACTTGAGATGAACTCACCTGGTGTCTATTCCAGTCAGTACCAACAACATAAAATAACATCTAGTACAGTTATGCAGCCCTGAGGACAACTACAGAAATGCTGGAAGCAACTTGTATTATTTTGATAGTATTTAAAGTTATGAGAAAATATCCTGAAAAAGAAATTAATTTCTTTTTCTAGTTAATAAAACTGTACCCACTTCCAGGGCAATGAAGGAAGCTACATCCATTTTCCAGCTTGCCATTAAAGTTTGTTTTTAAACCAAGTAAAATTGGAAATTCATTCTTCTAATTACAAAAGCATTCCCCTTAACCTTTGTACCAAAAAAGTCACCATCTGTGCTATTTTCACTGCCCTTCACCATTTGTATTTCAGTTTCACAGGAACCTCTCAATGGCTATGGTTCCTGAGAAACCTCAGGAAAGAATTTCAAATTCTGCATACAAACACAAGCTAAAACTCTTCCAAATGTTTAGGCTGAGGCAGCTTCTTCTAGGTACCACCTTTCAAATGTCTTTAACTTACAAAGTAGTTACAGATGCGTTGTTCTTTTGCCTGCCAAAGTTAGGAACAGCAGATTTGCTTTTTCCAACATCCAAGTGGGTTTGGAACTCCACAAATAAGAAGAAAAGCCACATCAGCAAACTGTAGAAAGTAGCATAGAAACAGCTGGTGACATGCATAAGCTGGGTACTTGACTCATCTTCCAACTGTCTTTTCTCTTCCAGCCACAGAAAGCTTGATTTTTGCTTTGCTCATGTCATCAATCTCAACATTCCAATAAATCATTTTATTCCATTTTGCCTTGAAAGGTTCAGGCTGTAATGACAATGACCAGGAGCACCTACAAGACATAGATCCCAAAACTACAAATGGGCTTCAAGATGCCACATTCTAACTGCATCTTGTACCACTAAATTGTGATTAACCACAAATCTATGGAAAATGCTCTCATAATCCTGACATCTCATCTTTTTTAACTGGTACTTAATTGATCCAAAAGTGAAGTTGAGCCACAATACTTCAGGCCTCAAGAGAAGTGGGTCTGGCTGTTTACAGCATTTTTTTTTACCTTTCTAACATCATTCAAGGATAAAAGATGTGCACACCAATGCATTTCAAGCTCTAAGCCACTCAAAGATCAGGAGGATTTTCTGTGTACAGATCTACAGACTGAAAAAGGCTTTATTTACACCTTGCTTCATTTCTCCTGTAGTTCTTACTGAGAGATGCTCACAGACTTCAACAGCTTAACTACAAGCAATTTAAACAATACTATTTTCAGATGGGAGCAAGCTTCAGTACTGTGTCTCAAGCACAGCCACATGTTTTGATAGGTTGTTATTCTGAAAATAACAATGTTTCTGTTGGGGAGTTCAGTCTCACTGCACTATGACTAAACAACTATTTCTAAAGTGCTATTACATTTTGGACACAAAACCGAGAGCACAAGAGGCAAACTGGGACGATCAGAAAGGCCAAAGAAGTATGAAGACAAGCAAATCTGCGTTATCAGTGCAAAGTGGAGTGAGGGGGACAGCAGCCAAATACCTCCTTCAGAAGATCTGGACAGAAAAGCACAAATATATATTACATATATAATTACACAGTGTCAGTCCCATGAGGGAAAATGGGCTTATATGGAGCACATTCAACTTCATTTGTTGTCAAACCATAAATGTCACACAACTACAGGCTTTTCACACCAGCACACCCCTTAGGATCTTGTGTTTGCATAGTTAAATCAGTAGAAAAACCCATTACTAAAAAACACGCTTCAACAAAACACTGATTACCTTGAGTGAGCACATGACTGCTGCTCACACCAGGCCAAACTTACACAAAACAAGAAAAAACAAAAAAAAAAAAAAAACAAACCCTGAGGACAAACTGTTAATATATTATTAACTTACTCTCATCAGAATTATTTCAACTGTGCATTGTTAAAAAGAAAGTTTAAGAGAAAAGGAGCAGAGCCCTTTACATACTCAGAACATTGGCTGCTTTTCTGGAGAGTTCATCAACTCAAAGTAGGGGAAAGTGTTTGGCAACCTCCCTAGACAAAAAAAAACAAAACTGCAGGAGAAGTCAACACTAGATATATAGCACATAAAATACTTGTGATACAACTATTTCACATGAAAATTCTACCCCAGCTCTTACCCTCTTCTGTTTCCTAATAATTAATATATTTCCCTGGGATTGACATTCGTACATGTAGTTATCATCTTGTCTGCACCTCCTGAACACAATAAATTCAACATACAGTAAACACAGAGAGAAAAATTTAAGATAAAACCCTCAGGCCTGAGCAAAAGTTAAAAGTCTTTCCAACTAGAAAACATAATCAAACGTGGTTGTCATTGCTTACAGTTGTCAAAAATGCCAGACTTCCAAAAGCATTAGCTTCTCCTTTTACTGGCTCCACAATTTTTGAGAGATCGTGAACCAGAAAAAAATAGGGAAGAATCGACAGCCCCAAAAAGCAACTTACAGGCTCAGAGAGCAGAATGCACCCCGAGATTATTGTAAGCACGTATAACAGTAAATAATATTCCAAACAGGATGTTTCACTGAATGACAGTACGAAGTGAATGAAAGAACAAAGTGACAACAGGACATCACATTTCTTTAGATGGCAGAAGACAACTGTAGTGATAAGGCAAGTCAAAAAGTTGATAAAATGAAGCCATTCTATATAAAATGACCTCTAGGCTGTGTTTTTTGGGAAGCAAGCAAGTGGCTTGCATTCAAGCAAGAAAACACCAAAGGTAACTAATGTTCCACCACACCTGCTGATGAAAGCAGCCAGGAAAAGCAACCTGTTGGTGCTTGTTACTTTCCAAGGCACACCTAAAGGGCTTATGAGGAGCACAAGAACACCGGGCCCGCATCAAGAAAACGATGCTTTCCAAAGGACAAAACCCTAAAAATCAGAAAACACCCTGGTCTAACTCGGTCAGCGACACGAGAACTATTCCCGAGGCCCTACCTACCTCTCTACCTCCCTCCGCCTCGAAGGCGAGGCCACCCGGAATCGTTCTGTCCGCAGCAGCGGCAGCACCACGCGTGTCCCCGCAGCCGCCCCCAGCTCTCCCTGCCCTCTCCCGCTCCGGGAGCCGCCTTCCTTTCCTATCCCTTCCCCCCAGGAGCCTCCCTGCCCGCTCGGCCCGGCCCCCGCTCCCCTGGGCCGCGCCCTGCACGCCGCACCTCACGGCCCGAGAGCGCGGCGGACCCGGCCCGGCTCCGTCCGCCGCTGCCCCCGTCGCTGCCCCCCCGCGCCGCGGCGCTCACCTGGCAGAAGCGGCGGCAGTAGTACTGGCTGCGGAGTAGAGCGGGCAGCCCGGCCGGGAGCCCCGGCGCCGCCAGCGCCTCCAGCTCCTCGCTGAGCCGCTCCGACTCTTGGTCGCTCTCGTCTTCCGCCATGGCGGCCCCGCCGCCCCGCGCGTACCGAGCGCCCCCGCCCCGCCCCGCCGCGCCGGAAGAGCCGCCCCCGCCGCGCCGCCAAGCGTCCGGCCACGCCCCCGCCGCGCCGCGCTCCCATTGGCCCGCCCGTCCTGCCTATCAATGCGCCGCTCACCTCTGGCTCCGCCCCTTCGAGGGAGCGCGCCTCGATTGGTGGAAAAGTCTCGTCGTTACTTCAGGCCCGCCTTTCCATTGGCTGCTGGCCCCGTCTGTCACGCCCCTCTCCGCAGCTCCCTGCCCGATTCCCCGTCCGCTGCTCGCCACCGCCCGCGCTCTGATTGGCCGGCGCACGCCTCTATCAGAGCTCTCACTCTCGCCCCCCATTCTTAATTGGGGGAAAGCTTCGCCCATCTCCGCGGTGAACCAATCAGCGAGTGACTTCCGGCGGTGGGCGGGGCCGTGAGGCTGCGGCGGAGCGGCGCGTCCGGCCCGGCCCGGCGGGGCCCAGCGCGGAGCGGCGGCGGCGGCGGAGCCCCGGGGCGGCCCCGGGCGCGGGCGGGCGGCGCGACCGCTGCGGGTAATGGTTCCCGGCACGGGGTCCGCGCGGATTCGCGCGTGGGGAGGAGGCTGCGGGGCCTCCCGGGGAAACACCCGCGCTGTGAGGAAGGGCCGCAGCCGCGGGGCCTGAGGTGTGCCGGGCCGGGCTCCGCGCGTTTAACCCGCGCGGGGCACACGGCGCCGGCAGCCCGCGGAACAAACCCGGGCAAGGAACGCATCGAGTTGTGGTCCCGGTCCCCGGGCGCAACCCGCTCAGTGACTGGAGATCCAGACTCGTGCTCCTCAGCCGGCGGCTCCGGGGCTGGCAGCCGGTCCGGGTGCGGTGACAGCGGCCGCCGCCTCGGCGGGAGTGTCCGGGGAGCGGATCCTTGTTCGCCGGGCACCCCTGCGTGGGGAGGCAGCAGTCTTCTGCAAGGAAACCACGCCAAAACTTGATACCCCACCCCCCCAAAAAAAAACAAACCAGGCCTACAAAAAATCCTGTGTTCTGCTGCTGTCAGAATCCCGAGAGATTTTGTTGCAGTAGGATTGCAAACACCTGATTTGGTGGGGGGAAATTTTTTTTTGGCCTTTCAGAAGCCAAAGCAACAAGTTTGTATTGGGTTAGGACTTGTTTTCTGCTTGATTTCAGGAAATGGTTGCTTAGGAAACTCATGTGTAAAGCAACAAAAAGAACGAAGAAGGTTACATTGATGCTGGATAAAGATTGTTTGTCTTTGTATCGGTCTAAGACTTATGGTTCTGCAAAGTCACAGTGAGAGCAAAAGAAAAAAATCACTAGGAAATAGTTAATAGCAAAATTTTTGTTTCCTTTTTTTGCAGAAGCTTGTAATCTCTTCATGTAGCAATGGCTTAAGAAAAAAAGACAATGTTGAAGACAGAATTCTCTATTCCTTTAGTTCCAGGGTGGGCAAAAACCATTCTGGACAGCAGAAACTGTATTCAGCCTTTTTTTTTAAACATTGCAACAGCAAACTGAGTAACAAAAGAAAACAAGTGTAGAGAAGTACATCCTTCCCCCCACACCGAGGTATCTAGATACTTAGAAGAAATATTGTTGCCGTTTGGAGTTTTTTGTTGGGTTTTTTTGTTTGTTTGTTTGTTTTGTTTTGTTTTTTTAAGAAAATGAGTAGTTTATGTGTTGACCATTAATTTTGCTCAGAAAACCTCAAACCTGAACAGAGCTATTACTTGACTTCGCCTTTACTTTAAAAAGGAGTTAAATTATCTTTAGCTGAGATTTGCAGGAGCTATTCCATACCTCAGCAACAAAAAGACACAGGCCTTGTTTGATTTCAGAGCACTTAACTGGGTTATTGCCTGCTTTGGTCTAGTTTAGAGTGATGTTAAACCTCTTTGAAAATACAGTTTCTTATTCTGCATTGTAATACATGCAATTCTATGTTCCATTAGGCTGCTCCAGTAGTAATTGCAGTGACAAAATTATTTGCTCTAAGCTCCAAGTTCAGGTTCAATCTAATAGCTGTGGTTTAAAAACCAGGGCTGTTTCCAAGTAAGTGCTGGCAAAGCTTCAGTTTGGTTTGGGTTTGGGTTTGTTGTTTGTTTTGTTGTTTTTTTTGTTGGGGGTTACTGGCTTTTTAAAGTGACAAAAATGGTTTTCTTGCTTGCTATGGACAAAATACACAGAAAAATACTGACTCAACATAATTAAAAAACTGTAAAATATGTTTTAAAAATGTTAAGAAGAAAGTACCCTTTGTCCTAAAGTGTAAAGGATGAAAAAAGGTCTTCAAGAAAAGCAAAAAGTGTTTTTGTTTGACTTTAAGTGATTACAGATTGGGTTTTGAGGGTTCAGTTGAGAAACTAAAAAGCATTTTACTCTCACCCACAAGGATCCTCATTCTCCCAATTTCTTTGGACTTCCAGATGAAAAGCCTTTCAGTAACAGTGTCACAAATGTGTCTTACGTGTAAGTCATGATATTTTAGGTGTCATCAGGTGCCAGGCTGGATACTGAATTAACACTTGTTTTGTTTGCCAGCTTTGCCCGGCCAGAGGCAGCAATGGAACGGTTCGGGGTGAAATCGGCGCCGTCGCGGAACCGCTCCAAGACCGCTCTGTACGTGACCCCCCAGGACCGTGTGACCGAGTTCGGCAGCGAGCTGCATGAGGACGGGGGGAAGCTCTTCTGCACCTCCTGCAACGTGGTGCTCAACCACGTCCGCAAGTCCGCCATCAACGACCACCTCAAGTCCAAAACGCACACCAAGAGGAAGGCGGAGTTTGAGGAGCAGAACGTCAGGAAGAAACAAAGGACTCTGACTGCCTCCCTGCAATGCAACAGCACTGCCCAAACAGAGAAAAGCAGTGTGATCCAGGACTTTGTGAAAATGTGCCTGGAAGCCAATATCCCACTGGAGAAGGCTGATCACCCCGCTGTGCGAGCCTTCCTGTCCCGCTACGTTAAGAACGGCAGCTCCATACCCAAGTCGGAGCAGCTAAGGAAAGCATATCTGCCTGATGGCTATGACAATGAGAACCAGCTCATCAACACTGAAGACCGTTGAGAAGAGAACTGTTTTCATCCTTGGTGTGAAGTTTTACATATTGATGGTGTGGTTTATTTTTATATTCATGCATATATACAGTGTTACATATTGATTTTACAAGCTATTTTGTATTCTTGTAGAAATGACAATCTACTTCTGAACTTAGTGGTGTGCCACAGATTGTTGCTAACCCTGCTGTGAACTTCAGAGCTACATTGATGTAGAGCTCACGAGGAATGTAGGGAGCATCCCTGGCACACACCTGATCTCTGTTCAGTCCAGCTGTAACTGAGGCTGAGAAAAAGGCACTTGAATGGATGGAGCACCCCACTTCACAGTGCAACTAAGAAGACCGTGTGATAGGGATTGCTGCTCATGGCAGTGGATTGCTTTGTCCAGTATCCTGTCCCTGAGTGACGAAGAAGAGGTGCTGCACCTTTGAAATGCAAGAAGCTCTAGGATGATTAGTTAAAATATCACTGTTGGGGGAGGACTATTGCAACTTTCTATTCAAACTTGGTTTAAGTTTTGAAACAGGAAACATTTTTCTTCTAGACCTCTCTCTTACGCTGTTTGGTGCAACTGTGGATGTATTTGTTATCCAGCTTAACCAGCCAGTCTCTTGTACTGACCTCTGAATTTCACTATACTCATAAGCCTAGGAGTTCTACCCTGTCTGCTTTTCTAAAATCATTGTTCCTTTGTCTTGGTTTCACATGCCCCCTTCCACTTCAGTGCCAATACTTGGAAGCTGAGTAGACAGTAACTGAGTGTGGTTTGCAGTGCAGCTGCTGTCAAGTGAAACTTATGCTGGACCAAGTTCGTAGCAGAGAAGATTAATGCCTTTTTCCTACTAGCAGGACTAAGCTAAATCTAATTTGGGGATGGCACAGGCACTAAATTGAGGAATTGGGAAAGTTTTTTCATTGTGCACAGGAGAAGAGGCTGCTCCATCTTTCCCTGAAGGTCCTTTACACCTCTGGCCTTGTCATCAGTCAAGGGAAGTGAAGTGATTTAAAATAGTTTTTAAAGCAGTTACTGCAAAGGCTCTTCAGTACTTGTAAGCACAAGTAGGAAGGCACATACACTCTGAACTTATACTGGAATTACAGACCTGGGCTGTATTTCTTACTCTGTGCTATGGCCACATCTATTGGACTGGCAAAAACCAAAATGGGATATTGAAGAATTTCAATAATGTTACTCTCTCCAAAATCTAGTAAACTGTTACTAAGCTGTTCCAAATGATGACGCCAAATATTTCACCTGTCACAAGTGTTCTGTAAAGGTTTTGAATGAAATGAGAGTACTGTGCAAAGTGCTATAATTCAACTGACCTGTGCCTGCTCCAGATCTCCTGGGGATGCTTTGGGTTCAGAGAGGTGCCAAGCAGCTCCTGGGGGCACAGGAATCCTCTCTCCCCATGGGTACAATGGTATAAGGATGCTTTAACTCCTGAGGGTGGAGCCACTTGTCCAGCTTCCTTTCCCCAGCAGAGTTTCACAGCAGTTTATTTACAGCAATACCAAGGAATTGCTGAAAGGAGACAAAATAACCAGATTATTTTGGGTTTGGAGGTATTTCCCTAGGTGTATATAGAGCAGTCTCCTTTGATGGGCTGAGAGAGATTTACATACTTAGTAACAACTATTTTTTTTGTGCAATTAGCCTGCAGAAATGCACTTGTGTTCCATGTCCTGCTATGAAACTTGCTGGAATAAATAGACAAAGTTAGAAAGTAGAAGGTTTCTTACCCATGTGCATCAGGGGTGCTCACCCCACTGCTGGTCTAGGACTTCAGGCAGAAATAACAGTAGCAACTTTTTAATTTAATCCTAGAGATCAAGATATGCCTTCCTAAATATCATTTTTTATTGCACAAGCTTGGATTTAGCTTAAAATCCTTAACTGCCTTGGGCTAGAACTGTTTAATAAATCTTCTGAAGCCAAGTGAAAGGTAAACTGCCAATAGTCTTTTCTGTCCTGACAAGAATTGAAAGTATTTTCTCACAGCTGCTGTTTTCTTACAGTGAAACAATATCCTTGCTTTATATTTTAATATTTTTTGAAACCTCAGCAGTGGTATCTTAGCATTGTATCAAATAGAGAATAATGGGCTATTGAGAAAACAAAAGCAGCTAGAAAAATGGGATGGTCAAAAGGTATGAATTTGGGCTAGTTCACTCAGTTTTTGCTAACATGGGATTTTCCAGACTGCACCCCATAACAATTTTTTATAGTTTAGATGCTGTATATTCTTCCCTTGACTGACTGACAGACATTTTGAAATGCTTCATGGGAACATTAATTAGGCTCTTGTATAACTGGAAAAAAAAAAAAATCGTTTAAAAAGTTACAGTTTTACATAAAAATAAAAATATTGGTAAGTGTAATGAACTCACTTTGCAGGACTGCTGCCTTAATAATAGGATATTTTCATTTAAAAATGAAAAGATGTTGATCTTGACAACAAACATTAATAATGGAGTAAAGTTATGAAAAATAAAGCACTTCCAGGTGATCTAGAAAGAATGTGTAAGTTTAGAATCATGAACATAACCCAAATCATCAAGACATTTTCGAGAAAATATGAGTTAAGTGATTGCATTCTGTAATGAAACAGAGTCCTGCAAACACTCAAATTCAGAACGTAATTTTGCCAGTATGGCTGCAGTTGGATAAAGCATAACTTCCTTTTAATTGCTGTTCATCTCAGGGAAGATTTACAGCAGAAGTTTTCTCATCTGTCTAAACCTAAGGAATAACTAAATCTTCATCTATCTAAACCTAAGGAATAAAAGTAAATTTGAGGCTGTGATGGAGTTGTTTGAACAGTCACCATGGATGTTTAATTTCTTGTGCAGGAATGTATTTCCTGTAAAGAAGAAAAGTCTCAGAAGTAAAGGGAGGATGGTAACAATGTCAGCTTTTCACATTACATCCAAATGTAGGAACAAGCTCTAAGGGATACTTTCTGCCAGGTGGTTTTATGAATATATTTGAACACTAAATCTAATAGAAAAAAAAAATAAAAGAAGACATATTTTCTTCTTTGACCAATACTTAAACTAACATAGCCAAATTATTTAAAATTACTCCCAAGTGTTTTTCTTGAATCAACGTGTGCAAAGAGTAAAATACAAACAGGAGCACTCTCTGTTGTGTGACTCCTTACAATGATAGTTTCAGCTTGCATGTTCCTGAATAAACATGAGCAAGCTTAAAAAATGTTAATAATTTTGAAGACTGTAATTTGGCAGGTCCCATGGGAAGGTGAAGCATTCAGCATAATGAAAGGGAAATCTGTTTTTCAACTGAGAGAGAAACTTGTCCTGCAAAGTATGGGATATTCTCATGAAAAAGGCTGGTTTTAGCCAGAGCCCCTTTTAGCAATTCTGTTGAACTGAAGAGCGAGATGTTCCCTGTTAGGTTTTGCAGCATAATGAGCTGGTTTTCAGGAAAATGAAAAGCAAAAAGCTGGAAGTTTGGCAAGGATAATCTCTATTTAGATTTGCATATAAAGAGAGGCAAGGCCCACTTGTTGTTGCATTCACATTGTACTCACTGCTACTTACTCTGTGTAATTTGAGTGCTTGTTGTCTTTGTACAATTTTAAAGTCGTGTCTAACTTTCAAAATATTTTTATTTTAACAAAGCTTCTCACTGTAATAGTGCTGTTAGAGTTTAGTCTCTTTTGGTCTAATGAAGATGCTTTATTTTTGTTTTGGTGGTAGGAATGTTTTGTTCATGGTGAGTGGCCACAGAAATGGTTTTATTTAAAAAACAGTCATGAACTTATGATTAGATACTAGAGTGAGGCTGAAGATACCTGGGTCCTGCAGTACCACAAGACTTCCTGTAGGAACATAAGACCAGAGTAAGGGATTTAAGTTTTTATATTAAAACAATACTGAAGAGAAATACTTTACATTGTAAAGTTTTCACTTGGTAATGAAAAAACGGTCTCTTTAAAAAAAAATAAAGGTATTCCTTTTTTATAGAATTTATGCATGATCTCTTATTTTATCAACCAAGAACATGGATTAAGAACATGTGGTAGTTCACTTAGAGTGGTGTAACACAAGACAGGAGGAATGGATGGGGACAGGAAAAATGAGGGAGGTGCTGCTGTAACTTAAGGTAACATCAGATATTGAAGCAGTTGGGGATCTATGCAATGACACTGAAGTCTGTTTCAGGACTGGTTATACAAAACCTCTGTTTCCTGTCAATTCCTGATTTTCTTCATAGTGACAGAAATTCCCTACTGATGCCTTCTGCTCCAAGTGAATACCAGGTGGAATGATTGTTGGGCGTTTTGACACTGCAGTAAACGCTTTGTAGGTACAGGACCTTGCAGCTATCCAAGGCCTCAGATCTATTCAGGAAGGGTTTCTGAAATGTGGAAGAAACCAAAAAGGTCAGTTTGATCCTCTCCCTTAGGGACTTCATGAAAATTGAGCAAATAACATCAACCCATCAAAAATTATAATCAAGTGTGGGTTTGATTGTTTACACATTTCCAGAATTCTGACCTGTCTTGACATCTCAGGATGTATCAATGATAAATTCAGGCAACCTCTTGACTGATGAATTTATGAACAATTATCTTCTCATTTTCAGTCATTTCCAGGTCACAGCACATTAAGATCAAGTGCTTCTTGTTGTGAAATGGAAAACCAGAATACAAATAAACATACCCTTCGTAAAATCTTCTTGTGCGGAGAATTAATATATGAAACAGCACGTGCACACTTGCAAAATCAATGTATCAGTCAGGATTTCTGTGGAAGCTGGAGCAGAACCAGGTGAAGCAAATATTTAAAGTTTAGTAATTAGGCCATGCTGAATTCTGATGGTGACATTTTACCTTTTTAACTGAATGAAGGCCGTTTGGTCCATATCTAGGATGCAGTAGGATCAAGTGCACACAACTTTCAGGCCACAGTGATATTGATAATTAGGTTTGACATTTGTTATTTGCATAGGCTGGAGGAGAGATAGTCTGTGGAAGTTCTGGCTTGTTGTTTTTTTTTTGTTTTTTTTGTCTCATACCACCACTTTTTTTACAAGGGGTCTGGAATTTTGTGGCTCGTGTGGTGGTGGTCATATCCAAAAGCACATCTCGAGTAGAAGCAGAAAGTGCAGGATGAGAGCTGGAATACAGAAGGCTACTGCAGCTCACTTGAAGATATTGTGGAAGAAAAGCATTTAGGGACTTTAGACATTCTTAGGAGGGGTTTGTATATTGGTTTACCTCAAGTGGTTTTTTAATCTGTCCTCCAGTGTACAAAATAGCTCAAATTCAGAATTTCACTGCAGTAATTGACACTTCACCTTAATTCTTCTATAATTAGCTTTAAATTGCTTTCTCCCTCCCTTTATTTCTGAAACCTGTCATTACCTCAAGACAAATTCAACAGCTACCCATGATTGCACTTAGGGAAATGTTTTACAGACAACAAACTCCCAAGTGGAGCTTTAACCAGCTCTGGACTGAATGAACTGAGCCCCCTTGTGAGAGCACCCAAGCTCAGCCTACAGTTCAGAACCTGGCTCAAGATGTGTGCTTTGGTTTAACAAGGCTCAGCTCATCTCCTGAAACTGAAATTGCTGAGGGAAAAGTGGGGAGATGCAAAGAATCTCTCGTCGTGAAGGACTTGAATCAAAATGAAGGAGCTGATTCTTCCTTTAACAGGACTAAAGCTGCAAGGGCCACCTTGGCAAGTGCAGCAGCAAATCCTGAGCTCTGTGATCACCAGGGACAGGCAAGGAGCTGATGGGACACTGCAACACTGCTGTTCCTTTAAGGCACTAAAACCTCCTTCACACAGTGTTAAAAGGTAATCTTCAGCAGACTTCCTGGAGCCCACTCTCAGAACGCTGTGTCTCACTCTGTGGTTTCCTGCAAACAACAGAAAATTGCAGCCTCAAAATAGAACATTGGTCTTGTCAGAAGAAAAATGGAGGTGGGACAGAAAGAACATTGCACAGATTATGGCTGGGGTTTTCTTTTCACTTACATTCAGTAAAGTAGCAACAGGCATGACAAACGGGACTGAAACAGGTAAAGAAAGTTTCTGTTTATAGCAATCCTCAGTGCTCAAATTTCACCCCGTACTTTTGAAACCTCTTCCTCCAAAATAATCCTATCCAACACAGAGAACTGTGCTAGTGGTGTTTAAATTGAATCAGTTCTTTGAATTCAATTGCACTGAATGGGATTTTGTAAATACCTCATGTCTGTTAGGATTCAGCAAAGACATTATGAAGCTACTACCAAGAGTGCAAATCAGTGCCCATCTGGTGACATCTTTTTCTGGTACCTCTCCTTCCTAATGATACACTTTAGGATTGGGACTCTCATTCCTTACTTTGACAAACACTTATTTTATATTTATTTAGCATTTACTATCCCCTGAAACATTCTTTTAAAGTGAAACTAGTCTCTTGCAGTGTCTCAAATCCATGGACTGAGTTAAAAAAACAAAATTAAAAATTCTAAATTACCATTTAGATGTCACCTGTATCTAAATGATATCATAAAAATAAAATGCCTTAAGATGGTAATTAAGTCTCAACAAGAGAAAAACTTCCCTGAATAACCAATTTATCTCTCGGAGCTGGCTTTGGATGCAGCCACCAAGTGTCTTCAGTGCACAAAAATGCAATTTGTGGTAGGAGTGTTTTGGCTCAAGTGGAGCCCTGCTGTGTGTGCAGTTACACTCAAGGAGTTTTCTTCCATAAATATTTTCCATTTAGGCTGGATTGGAATTTTTGTCAGGCTTTTTCAGTTCTTCACAAACATAAGTAGGATTCTCCTGATCATCACACACTCCATCCAAACACAAAATTTTTGATAGAAGAAAGAAATCCAAACATAACATTTCAGAAAGTTGTTCCATTATTTTTTTCCAAAACACGACCCTGGGAAAAAAAAATCCTGGTAATTTAGTAAGCATTTGGTAAGCATCTAGTAGCATTTGGTAAGCATTTCCATCATAAGCAGAGGTGACAATTGCTATATACAAAATTTCCATTTGCTTTCAATTTGGTTCTAACTTTATGAAGGAATTTTGCACAGGCAGAAGTTTTTGGGAAGGTTCAGCTAAGTGCTTCAATGTCTTAAAAATATTTAGGGGAAAAAATAAATCTTAAAGACATGCTGAGAAAGGAATACACAAAATCCAAATTACTTGTCCTTATGAAGATGCTGAGAACAAGCAGCAGAAACAATCATCCCTTACAGTGCAGATGGTTGTGTAAATAGTGAATTTTTTAAACTTCTTAACTGATTGATGTTGAATTAGTCATGCAGAAACACTGAACAAGTTTAAAATCCTGCTTTGCATCCCTCCTTTCTGCTATCTTGCTTCTTGTAAAATCAAAACCTCACTTCCAGAAGCATCTTTCAAAAAACCAAAAAAAAGCCTGCAGCTTCGTTCATTGCCCTGTGAGGGGAGCCAGGAGCCAGAGAAGGGGAGATGTTTTTTAAACCCTCAGGATCACCTTCTCTTTCCAATGCCCAGACAATTAAGGTTTCTCCAGTCATGTTGATAAAAAGGGTATTAGTGTACATTCTTCAGGTAATGCTGGCTCAGAGCAATTATCAAGTTCACAATAAGATCTGGCCTCATAATTAAAGCTGTCTGTAGCTATTAAGCATTACAGGTGGAGAACAGAAACCAAAGCAGTGCCCAGTGCACCCTGCAGATAATGGGTCTTATTTTATTACCACAGCAGAGCCTCCTAATTTAATTGAAGAGGATGATAATGATAATAACTGAGAAATATTCAGTAACCAGCTAGGTTACTTAATTCAGTAACTCCAGCACCTGAGGACAAAGTACTTCTGAACCATGGCCAAAGGTTCTGGTAGCATTCAATCCTGAGCTTGAAATCTGGAAATCCTACAAGTTCTAGGTCCAGTCTGCAGTCAAAATTTCCCTAATTTCACAGTATATCTGCAATTATTTAGCTTAACCACATCTAATTATCATCCCACTTTCAACTCTGAATGGCCGGTTTTTGAGTAAGAGGCTCTGCTAATTTGGACTGATGTGAGGACTACACTGTGCCCAGTATCCTCTTGTGTTAAAGCACTGCTAAAATGAAACAAATTACTACAAATATCAATATAATGTTTATAGGAGCATTACACAAACAAAAGTCTTGCAAGTCAGTCTCTACAGAACCATAATGGAAATATTCTTTTTTTAAATGCACTTCCTTATTACCCCTTCTGAACTTGTTTGGCTTTTATTTTGGTCAAAAGTAAGCTGAGAGTTGAAGCCAACTTATTTAAGCTTTGTATGTTGCAAAGCTATCCACAGAAAAAACAATGAGAGCCCCAGAAAACCCTCCAGCCTTCACCAGAAAAACTACATTAGTGTTTCTTTAAAATGGGGGAAAAAAGGGGAAAATGACTAAAATTCAATTTCTATTTGCAAAATTGCATTCCTCAAAAAATAACCCAATGGGAATATAAACAACTACAATTACTAATATAAAATCTTCCATCATTCCTTGAGAAGCCTTCTCTGAAGCTCGGGGAAGGTGTTTAATTAAATTAATTTAATTAATAAAATAATTTCATTAAATGAGTTGCAGAACTGTTGTGCTCATTACAAGGGACTGAAGAATCCTCTTTATCTGCTGCTGGAACATCTTCATATGTTGGAAGAGATGAGAAGTTCAGTACCCTGAGTAGTACAGCAGCAAAATATTCGATAGGTATGTGAGAACAAGTGAAACAACTCCTAACTGTGCCTTCACATTTTGCATTGTATAAAGTGCCACTGTATTTCCATCTGTGCACTGATCCAAACTTCCTCCAAATGCTTCAGTGGTGAACTCTGAGCATCTGTGTATTTTAACAAGGCTCGCTCTTCTTCTCTTGAGGTCAGAGGGACATGGAAGACTCCGGTCTTTAATCATGGCCAAAGTGATCCATGCTGATAAACGCTGATCCTGGGAGAGGAAAGAACTTTTTAAGCCAAAAGAAGGATATCTTAATCATGCTGCTTGTAAACTTGCAGTTTGTTGTGAATGTTGATGGTGTAAAATGATGCTGGTTCTGACCAAGGACAACTGAAGACAACAAAAGTGATACATGTGCATGGCTTGTGAGACTCTCTGGTGTGTGGCATTGGTTATGTCAGAGGATATTGGATCATTACAAACCTATTGATATTTTGTTCCCTAGTTCATTTTTTGGGTTAATTTCTTTCTTGATGTTTTGCTTGCATGAGTAAGTTCCTGTCATTAACAGAGCAGACTGCATTCACTGCCGTGTTACCAACTCACAACTCTGTGTTCAATTTTCTTCATGCCTACTACCTGGCAGGTGAAGAGAAGTTATCAAGACTTCCTGAATCTGAGGATTGTCAGCATCTCTTGTCCCGCTTGCCTGGAAAGTATTTGTGTGCCTTTTAAGCCACTTTGCTTCATTGTTTCCAGAATTTCATCTGTAATGGAAAGTGCAGTATTTACAAATGAGTTGAAATTGGTTATAGAAGATAGTTCTAAGGTATCTGCCAAACTGTAAAGCAAAGTTTATAAACTCTGCCCTCTTTCAGACCGGAATTTTTATGCAAAATAATCTCCTACCAAACACAAATAAAGCTCATAATTTACAAACTGAAGTTTGGTGTTTTGCTAGAATTCTGCATGAAGCTAAACTGTAGGACAAAGTGAGATCTGTAGCATCTTTTCACAAAAGCTGCCTAATAAATCAGGTATGAAGAATAATCTTGACATTACACGATCATTTGTGGCCATTAAGCATTAGATCAGAAGGAAAAAGTCCAAATCTTTTCTCTACACCTGTAAAATTAAAGATATCATATTTCCCACTAAGCCTTTTAGGTTAATACCACCATTCTCTTCTATAAGAAAAAACTGGCCTGGCATCATTAATTAATTCAGATTTTATTAATCCACTTTCAGACTTGGAACTGAAATCCTGCAGAGCTGCTAGGGTCCCACACACCTTCACTTTCCAAGCTAGCTTGGGGAGTTCTTAGCTTTGATAAATTTGCCTGCATTTTTTGGTCTAGCTGTGATCAACATTTTGATTTATACCATGTTCAACCTGGTTTGGCACATTGGAATGTCCAAGAACACTGATCACCTGGATTATTTTCTTTAATTGTGACCAAGTAGAATAATCCTCCTGGTGAAAGCAGGTCTGGTACTAATGGGAAAACTCTATCCATTACTTCTCTGCCCTGTTTGCCCCCAGCCCAGGATGCCTCTATTCCATGGCTTTTCACCTATGAAGAAGGAAAACAAAGATTTTCATAATACAGAATGACAGAACTGTCACAACAATAGACAGTAGCAGTACTATTTTTACTCTGTATTTCAAAATTTTCCTACCTCTTCAGAAGGTGTTACCACATATGGTGGGTTAAACAGCAGTAGATCAACCTTCCCATTTAATCTTGGGGATAATCCTTTGACCTGTAGGTGAAGTTGATGATTGTGTGGGGTTTCTTTTTGGGAACATGAAGAATGCAAATGTTTTGTAAAAATACAGTCACATAGTGCAGTTGTTCAGCCATTTTAAATCCCATTTATTGTGGCCTACCTGCATCATCTTTTATAAATGTATAAAAGGGTTAAAGAGATGAGAAAAAATATTTTTTCTCCACATCAGATTTTGTAAGAAACTAAAGGCAACAACAGACACAATTAAATTCTAATTAAATCATAAGAGGCTGAGAACCAAGAATTACATAACTTTAGACAAAGGGCTATGATAATGTCAGGCCACTATAGAATTCCTTGTCCAGCACTTTCCAAACTATATCTACAGTTTTTTTTTCAATTAATACAATGAATTTTTAGAGCCTAATTTTGAATTTTAGAGCTTGAGTAGTTGGTTGGGGTTTTTTTGGCAGGGAGAGATGTCCAGAGGTCCCTTCCAACCCTAACTATTGTGTGACTCCATGATCTCCAGTAAGCATTAAGAAATTATACAAACTATGAAGAAGATACTATTGGAACCTCTCACCAAGTCAGTAATGATGGGCTGCAGGTGAACATTGTTAAGCAGAGCTGTCTCCTGGGTACAGTAAGCTGCCATGGGGTTGATATCTGTGCATCTATATGGGAAATATTACAAAGTGTAAGTTATAGGCTACTGTACCTGGAAGTTTAACCCTATGAACCACAAGCTAGTTTGTAGAACCACAGAACATTGTGAGTTAAAAAGGACCCACAAGGATTAAACCCAGCCAACACAAGTGTAGGCTTAGCAATTTGACTGAGAAATGGGAAAATGGATTTCTAGTCACAACACTACTCCATTTGTTACAGAACCTGAAGTAAATAATTCAGGCTGCACCATAAGCTCAGAAATGCTTCATAGGCTCTCTTTGCTTTGATTTATGTATCTACAGAATCAAGAAAAGAATAGTTTTTAAAATGCGAAAATGAGAAATACATATGAGAAGGCTAAGCATCCTGAGCTAAGCATCCTTTATTATTGCATGCAACAGTTTAGGTGCTGTTATACTTACATGTACAGTGCACTGGGTCCAAGGATGGAAGAAGCCAGAAATGTTGAAACCACACCAGATCCTGATCCTATTTCAAGGCAGATCTCAACTCTAAAGAGAGAACACTCTGGATGACTTTTGTTTATAACAGACACAGAATTGGTCAAGACAGTTTTATAGACGATGCTGTCCTCCCAAACACGTTGAAGTACAGAATCACAAAACATCCTGAGCTGGAAGGGACTCAGAAGGATCATCATCCTGTTCAACCCCTGGCCCTGCACAACCCCACCCTGTGCATCCCCGGCAGCGCTGTCCAAAGCCTGAGCTCTCTCAGGCTGGTGCTGCGACCATTCCCTAGGGAGCCTTTCCCATTGCCCCACCAGCCTCTGGGAGAAGAATCTTTTCCTGATATCCACCCTAACCCTTCCCGGCACAGCCTCAGGCCGTTCCCTCAAGTCACAGAGAGCAGGATCAGTGCTGGCCCCTCCGCTGCCTCTCATGAGAAAGCTGCAGACAGGCTGAAGAAGCCAAGCGCCCTCAGCCCCTCCCGGCACGGCTTCCCCTGCAGACCCTTCCCCATCTCCGCAGCCCCTCTGGACGTTTTCTAATGGCTTTAATTAGAGATTAAAGATTAAAAATTAGAGATTCATTTAACTGTGCCCGCAATCCCCCCTCAGCACACCCTGCCCTGCCGTACCGAGCCTCCCGCAGGCTGCCCGCGTCCCGCTCCAGCGCATCGAGCAGCAGGAAGGTGTCCTCGGCCGGCTCGTACACGTCCCGAAAGGGCCCCCGCGGGCCCAGGTGCTCGTAGCGCGGGGTGGGCAGCGCCATCCCGGCCCTCCCGGCCCGCATCCGGGGGAAGGGGAGGGACGAGGGCAGGGACGTCCCTCAGCATCGCTCCGTGCAGCTCGGATGTGCTCGCCCCGAAGTTCCACCGGTTCGGTGCCGTCTGGTGGCCCGGATCGGACGGGAAACAGCGTCGGTGTGGCGGCGATGCCCGCCGGCGGTGCCCCTGAGGGGGAGAGGCAGAGCGCTGCTGCTGCTGCTGCTCCGGCTTGCGGTGTCGGCCGTGCCGATTGTGTTTCCCTCACGGGAACGACCACAGGGAGTCAGCACAAACCCGAAGGAAAGAGGTGCTGAGGGAGCTTCTGAAAAACACGGGGAAAAACCCTTCTATTGCTAGCCAGTAAACTTCCGTTTTCTATTAATAAAAAGACTATACTTCTGTGGTTCTTAGCCAGCAACACTAGACAGCATCCTTCTGTACCAAGCATCTGAACTTCAGAGTCGCAGAAACACAGATTGATTTGGGTTGAAATGGACATTAAAGCTCACCTCATTCCACCCCTGCCATGGGCAAGGACGCCTGTTCAATCACAAAATCATAGCATGGTTTGGGCTGGAAGCTCATCCAGTGCCACCCTGCCATGGCAGGGACACCTTGCACTGTCCCAGGCTGCTCCAAGCCCCATCCAGCCTGGCCTTGGGCACTGCCAGGGATCCAGGGGCAGCCACAGCTGCTCTGGGCACCCTGTGCCAGGGCTCACCATCCTCACTCAGTGAAAGAATTTCTTCCTAACATTCAATGAACCTACTCTCTGTCCATTTGAAGCCATTCCTTACTGTTTTGTCTCTCCAGCCCCTTGCAATGAGTCTCCATCTTCCTTGCAGGCTCCCTTTGGATAGTGGAAGGCTGCAATTAGATCATCCTGAAGCCTTTTCTTTTCCAGGCTGAACAATCCCAATTCTTTCAGCCTTTCCTCACAGCAGAGCTGCTCCATCTCTCTGATCATCCTGGTGCCTCCTCTGATCTCTCTCCAGCAGTTCTTCATCCTTCCTGTGCTGGGACCCCAGGGCTGGAGGCAGTGCTCTAACAGAAACGAGGCTCTGCAAAATTAAGAATTGAGGAAAAAATTCAGGCCACCGATTGGATTAATAATTTTCTCTACTCCACGAAACTCAAAGACATTCTGACCAAAAGTAGAAGAAAGAGCTGAACAGATTCTAATTCCCATCGAATGTCTGTGTTGGATTATTAAGGCCCTGAACACTCAAATTCTGAGGGAGGTGACTGTCTAGGTCAATGAAGGAAAAAGATGATGTTAAGAAAGGCAGTGTAATCAGATATCCAGAGATTAATATTCACAGATCCTAAGACGAGATTTTGACTCAAGGGTTGTTTTTGTCCTGTCAAGGAAATGAAACCACCAATCTTTATCTTAAAATAGGCTTCTTGCTCCACTATCTAAAAAAACCCAAAACAATTCTAGAAACTCAGAAGTTCAGAAAATTTCAGTTCCCAGAGTAAATTTATTCATGGACCTGATCTTGTACTAATATTACCTTTTAATTAAAAATGTTACTTTCTCTTCAGGAGACGATACCAGCTTTTTTTGGCTCCAAAGGAAATATAGTAGATGCTCCTTCATTTCATCTGCCTTCCCAAAGATTTGCTGCTATGCCAGAGAAACAAGTACTTGTAAAACATACTAAGCTTGCATGAAATTCCATTCCTTTGGCCAAATGAAGTCATGTTAAGAGACAGAATTTTGCACTGTGCCCATATTAGGAAAATTAATTCTTTGGATATATTTTTTTATTCTCTCCAGGTGGTCAAGCTTTGCAGTGCAGTAGGAGAAATGACTTCACCTCCTTCAGCTGTACTGGTTATTATTTTTGGCTGTTTCATACTTCATGAAAACTGGTTAATTATTACTGGGGGCTTTTTTTAATACTTCTAAGTCCTTGTGGGTGAATTTTATAAAACATTTATTTTTACTGCTTATATAACTACCTACCTAAAATGTTTTTCTTGGTAGACAACTGTTCTGTTTTTGCCAAAACAGATTCTATTTCAATTTTGGGAAATTGTTGGAAAGCTGATATTCTCATTTTTCAGCAGTGCCCGTGCCATGTTATTAAACTGGGCTTTACAGAGATGAAAAATTGATCTTGACAGGAATCATAACCATTTGTTTACACTAAGCTGCATGGCTTCATCCCATCTGGAATTCAGCGCCATGCCTTTCATACAGAATCCTTACCCATGATTTCCTGTCAGCCCTCAAAGGCTTCCTCTGTAAAATTCTCAAGCATTTCACATCTCCTGGAAGAGACCTAGGCCTGTGCTGGACCTGGGAATTCTCCTGTTTTGCTGCATTTGAGGAAGTAGAGCCACCAGGATAACTGCAAAGACAGAACTGCTAAGAGAAAGCTGGAAGAAACCTCATCATTTCTTTCTTCAGCCGAGCAACTATCTTCCTAAAAGTAGATAATTTTCTTGCCCTCAGTATTTCTAATTAAAAGATAGCGCTTCCATGCTCTAGTAAGTAGAAACCTTGTAGATTCTGGCCTAAATACAGAGGGGATACGTTTTATACTCAGTCTTCTGGCAAGTATATAAACTTAAGTAATTATTTTCACAGTTTTTCTTTGTGGATTTGTAGGCAAAGAGAAGTTCTCATCAGCCTTTTTCTGCTTGACTAAATAAAACATGCTCTTAAAAGTTTTCTGTCACAAGACATTATTTTCATTTCTCTTACCATACTTCTAGACTTTCTGCATATGGATTTAAGTCTGACTTCACCCTGAATGTGACTGGCACAAAATATTACAGGTAATGCCTTACTGATGCTTTGAAGAATTTACAAGCTTCATTATCTCTTGTGGAACTTTCATGGTACATGCCAGGCTCATGGTTGCACTTTATTTGAGGAAATGTTTTTTTGCCTTTTGTGATCAGCTGTTTTTTCCTAAGTTTTCCTCAATAATTTCCAAATAGTTTACTATAAAGTGAGAATTCTGTAGCATTTTATTTGTTTTAATAGTTCCCTTTTTGCATGCCTATTGCTCACATTCTGATGATTTCATTTTAAATTGGTGACTCCTGATTCCTTGCTGTCATCACAGTGATGCCAAGGATCCTGATAAAAACACTAAGCACAATCAGCCCCAAGACTGAAATTTCGGGAGTCACCAGTAGTGACTGAATCTGTCATTATTCCTTTCCAGCATAGTATATGACTAACTTTTATTCACTTTCTTGTTCACTTCATGCTCCTGCTGCCAATTCCAGCTTAGTTCATACTTTTCCACATGACATCACATCTCAAGCTGCATGAGAGCCTAGGCAGGTTAATTTTTGGTCTTTAAAAATTGAGACAGACACTGCAGGAATATAATAAAGTGTCCTGCCTCTGCCATATGTCCAAAATCATCACTGAGCTGTTCTTTTTAATTGTTATCCCAGGTCACTGGGTCCTGCTGTTTTCTTTCTTGTTCTCTTGAAAACATGTCCAAACCTTTTTGCTCTAATATCTTCATAATAATATCTTCAACAGAAATGCAGAATCATAAAATGGTTAGGGTTAGATGGGAATTTAAAGATCATCTCATTCCAATGCCCTGCCATGGGCAGGGTCACCTTCCACTAACCCAGCTTACTCCAAGCCCTGTCCCGCCTGGCCTTGAACACTTCAAATTTTAATAATTCTTATTTTACATTATAAAATGTAAAATATAAAAAAAAAATTCTAGCTTCCAAAACATTGCTTATTTAGTGATCAGTCTTTTAGTCTATTTCTTTTTGATGCTATCTCATGCTTGAGATGGTTATTTAACCAATAAGCTTTGAAAACTATTTCTGCTCTCATTCATTCCCTTGCTTCCATCTCTTACCTCAATCAAATGTTTTCATCCCCTTATGACCTTGGCATCCTTGAATAACAATATCATCACTTAACTAAGGCCAAAATACTAACTAAAGTAATCTTTTTACTGCTGTCCTGGCTATTAAGTGAAGAGCTACTGCTGCTGTTGATGTGAAAACCACTTGGGTGTTACTAATTTCTAGTCTCTGGATAATTCACTTCTTTTTCCAAGTGTTGCATTTCCAAATGACCCTTTCTAATCATACACCTGAGTTCCCTAACCTACCAAAAGCCAGACCATGGGGTTTATCCTCCAATAAAACTCTCCATTCTCCACAGATACCGTCAGATGAGTTAATGTTGGGTTTACACACGGTTCTTTTGTATTTCTAAGGTGAATATCTCAAATCTCTTTTCACTTCCTTGCTTCCCTCCTGACTGATGAAAATCCTTGCCCTTACATCATAGCTGCAGTACCTCATGGCATGGCTTTGGGAATTTTAGACCTGCTAAGGAACGGTCCAGGGATAACATATTAGAGAGCAGGAATGCTGGATGCTTGTTTACAGCCCTTCCTGAAAAGACCCCAGAGTGCATGTTAAGCTTTAAAAACCAATTGCAAGCTCTTGAAGGAATTATTACATCACTCCAACACTGAAATGCAGCTGCCTCAAGGGAAAGGCAGGGAATTTTTAATAGTGCACAGAAATATTTCAGCACTTCAGAAGAGAAAGTGAATAATGCCATAATCAACTGAGCAGAAAGGGAATGTTTAGTAAGTGGTCATATATAGTTGTTTTAACTGGATTTAGGCCAGAAACCAGGGAAAAACCTGCTGCTAATGGCAAAAATAAATTTGGGTTTTTAAGTCACCAATGACTGTATCCTTTGGTTTTCACTTGCATTTTAAACCGCAGCACCTGAAGCAGCAGAGTTGTAGTGGAGCTTTCTTTTATAACTGGTTACCAACATTTCCTCCTTCAGTGAGCAGGAATGATGTCTGATTGCCCCAGGAATTCACAAGAAATTAAGTTCTTTGCAGGCCTGTACAGAGAAGAAGCAACACCACTGTCAGCTGGTCATTTAAACTAGTCAGTGCTAGAGAAAACAATAATTAACAGCAACTTTGTCTCATCATAGACATCTGAGTGGGTAAACAGACACCAGGCCTTTACTTATTTTAATTTATAATTTTA